GAAGAGGTGAGTCAGGTGAGAGGGGCCTACATTGACTTTGGAATACCACTGATTCTGGGGAGGATGCTCTAAAGTCTGCCAACCAGTCCTGCAGGAGCGAAAAGTCAGAATCTGACGACACTGATTCCGGGGACAATGCCCTGCTGTTAAATAACTTATCAAGTTCAAAGTCTGATAAAACTGACTGTGGCGACTCTGCTCTGGTCTCATAAAACAGGGTTTCCAGACACATATCAGTACCTTCCCAGTAAGAAATTGTTGAATGTGGAGTAAACGAACTTTGCCTTGACAACTACACATGGTAACCGACATGGACAGATCTGAACTGAGGAACAGGCGAGTCAGGAGAGAGGGGTCTATGTTGAATGTCAGACGCCACTGACTGGGAAGACTGTGGTCTTAAATCGGTGAGCCAGTCCTCTACGTAGGAGTGAGTGCAATCCTTCTCTGACAACAATGATCGAGACCAAATAGGTTTAAACTCAACAGGTTTGCAGACCAACAAAGCATCTGCTTTTCTGTCATGTGTTATACCCCGCACAACATCTGCATATGTAAGAGATCTTGCAGGGGGCAATGGTGGGGAAGCAGTTACAGTTACGCTTGTGTCTTTGGTGTGGACCTGTAAAGTAAGTGAATCTGGTGAATCTGGTCTGTTGTCATCAAACAATTCCTCTAGACAAAGTCCGGAATACTCAACATCTGACAGTGTTGAAAAAGGTGATACTGGTCTATTGTTGGAGTACTGTAAGTAATAGTTACAATGTTGAGTCCGCATCTGGTCAAATGTCATGCGAGGAGGCAAAGAGCACTGCTCCACTGATGCCACAGATTCTGGGGAGGATGCTCTAAAGTCTGCCAACCAGTCCTGCAGGAGCGAAAAGTCAAAATCTGACGACACTGATTCAGGGGACAACGCCCTGCTGTTAAACAACTTAGCAAGTTCAAAGTCTGATAAAACTGATTGCGGGGACTCTGCTCTGGTTTCGTCAAACAATCTTTCCAGATACAAATCAGTACCTTCCCAATCTGAAAATGCTGATTGTGGTGTAAAGGATCTGTGCCTTGACAACTCAACATGGTAACCCACATGAGGGGGGCTGAACTGAGGAAGAGGTGAGTCAGGTGAGAGGGGCCTACATTGACTTTGGAATACCACTGATTCTGGGGAGGATGCTCTAAAGTCTGCCAACCAGTCCTGCAGGAGCGAAAAGTCAAAATCTGACGACACTGATTCCGGGGACAACACCCTGCTGTTAAATAACTTATCAAGTTCAAAGTCTGGTAAAACTGACTGCGGCGACTCTGCTCTGGTCTCATCAAACAGGGTTTCCAGACACATATCAGTACCTTCCCAGTCGGAAATTGTTGACTGTGATGTAAACGACCTTTGCCTTGACAACTCCCCATGGTAACTGACATTGAGAGATCTGAACTGAGGAAGAGGTGAGTCAGGAGAGAGGGGCCTATGCTGAATGTCAGACACCACTGATTGGGGAGACTGTGGTCTTAACTCAGTGAGCCAGTCCTCTACGTAGGAGTGAATGCACTCCTTTTCTGACAATATGGACTGAGGCCAAATAGTTTTAAACTCAAATGGTTTGCACAACAACAAAGCATCTGCTATTCTGTCATGTGTTATGCCCCGCACAACATCTGCATATGTAAGAGGTCTTGCAGGGGGCAATGGTGGGGAAGCAGTTACAGTTCCGCTTGTGTCTTTGGTGTGGACTTGTAAAGTAAGTGAATCTGGCGAATCTGGTCTGTTGTAGTCAAACAATTCCTCTAGACAAAGTCTGGAATACTCAACATCTGACAGTGTTGAAAAAGGTGATACTGGTCTACTTTCAGAGTACTGTAAGTAATAGTTACAATGTTGAGTCCGCATCTGGTCAAATGTTATGCAAGGAGGCAAACAGCATTGCTCCACTGAAGCCACAGATTCTGGGGAGGATGCTCTGAAGTTTGCCACGATTCTAGCCTTTAGAGAATCTCTTACAATTTCATCTGATGTATTTTCAAGGTATAAATCATTACACGATTCTCCTAAAATTGTTTTTGATATATGGTACTGTGGCTCTGTTTTCTTCAGCTTATCATCGTATTGTGCACATTCACTTTTCCTTTTTGATGTTGTAAGAGCAACATTATTTGAAAACTCCAAAATGTATTTGGGTCTCTCCACCAAGTTAAAAACCATTGGTTTGTATGTTGGTAGTTGTACATTTTCAACAGATTCCTTGTGAAATTCATGATTTGAGCATGATTCACTCTTGAATGGTTCTTTTGCCCAGTACAAATTTGTATACTCTTGCATTCCATTCTGTTGTGAGGTGTTTTGTCTGATATTTGTTAAATGATCTGAATGACCTTGTGGTGGTATGTTTTCAGATTGTGGTTTCAAGTTAGAAAACCAGTAATCAAGAAAAGACTGACTGCTTTGTTTCTGTGGTTTTGCGTCTTCAGACAACTGCGGCCTCAGCTGAAATGAGTTCACTGTTTGATTTGACCAGCCTGACTCTACACTGCGGAGAATTCTAACATCTGCATGTGTAAGATATTCACTAGCTGAAACAGCAGTTGTAAACACTGGTGCCCTTTCTTCAGCTCTCACGTGTCGTGTCAATGAATCCTGTGCATCTGTGCCTTTGTCATCCCACTGTATATCAAGAGATGATAAAGGAGCATTCATAGAATACTGCAAATAGTCTGAAGCTACAAATTCTGGTGTGACAGAGCCATCCCTACCCACTTCCTCGCCGACTGTAGGGTAAAGTGCTGATGTCAGTAGTAGTGAGGGTGGATTTTCTCCTGAATATTGTAAATAATAATCACAGTATTGACTGATAAGTTGCGCGCGTATAGGTTCTGAGAGCAAGAGTTCAAGAAATGAGAAACTGCACTGAGAAGTCTGTGATTCTGGTGAGAATGGTCGGCAGTCTCTTTCTGAAAATTCATCACACTCAGTATCTGACGTCACAGGTGGGAATGTTCTGAAGTTTCCCCTTGCTGGTTCATCTTCAGGTATAGATGTAATATATTTAGGTACTTGAGAGTCAGGGGACAGTGGCCTATACTTGTTCCAAGACTCAGAGTACTCAGAACAAATGGAATCTGAAATTTCAGCAGTGGCAAAATCCTTTGAACCAGACAGTGGTGCACATTCATGTGTGTGTGACTGATTGGAGTATAATTCATGTCCAGTGAAATTAACTGTAGCATCTGGTGAACTACATGCATCAGACCTTGGAGAGAGTGCCCGGCTGCCATCCAATATACTGGAAAAGTCTGCAGGCAAGACCCATTTTTCCCCCAGAGGAGAGTCAGGCGACATTGCCCTATAATCACCAATGGACATGACAGATTCAGGGGACGGCAGTCTAGCTATGGGGTCATATAATATCCATGCCTCTGCAGGGAATACACCGTTTTCACTAGCAGGGTCAAATAAGTCACACAGTTCCTTAGATGCCAAAGAATCAGGGGACAAAGGACTGTACTCTATAAAAGTGAAAGGTAATGTCACATCTTGCTCAGATGATTGGAGTGCAAGATGGGTAATATCAGTTGAGTCACAAGCCATGTGAGGAAGGCCACTCATTTTCAGACTGTGTGGCACACTGTTCTTTGTTACCTTCATTTTGAATGGTTTCACCATGCTGTACTTAGCTGTAGGTATAATAGGTTCAATTGAATCATCAATGAAGGGCATGTTTTCTGGATACCCATAACTGTACCCCTGGGGTTTCATGTTTTCTTCCTTGCTTGACTTGAAGGGTTTGAAGCCCATATCCACACCTGAAACCTGTGAGATCTTGTCATGACCAGACAGTACTTTGAAGAACTGGGCTGTTATCTCATCAGTTAACTTCTGAGAGCACCTGTTTTTTTGAGCTATTTTTGTGTCATCTTCAGTCACAGCCAGGGTTGCTTGGTGATCCGCAGGCAGCAAGGCTACCAGGCTAGGGTCAGATTTTCTTCTGAAAATGGTTTTAGCTGCATCTGTATGGTGTGGCGTATAGCTAAACTCACCACAAAGCTCACTGAAGTCAATTTCAGCTTGGTCTGACTCTGACAGGCTCAAACCAAAGTCTCTGATAGACACAGATGATGGTAACTTCAGAATTTCAGGTGATTGGCCTTGCTCATCTTCACAATCACACTGCTTCAATGGTAAGGTTTGGCTGGAGTCATCTTTGTCTTGGCACTGAGTGCCACTTTGGAAAGGTCTGACGAAATGAACTTCAACACTGCAGCAATCGTGCTGGTCTTTCACTTTGGGATCATAAACCTGGGCCGCTTGGCTTCCCAGTGCTGCTTCTTTTGAAGTGGGAAGTGTACTTACTTGCTCATCAGAGTTGTCATAACTTGTAGGTTCTTGAATAATTACATCCTCAGAGGTCCACAGGTTAGGATTCAATTCACTATAACACAAAAGGAAGGCTAGATCACAAACTATGACTTTGCATCAATGTAATATGTCAAAGCCCTAATAAAACAAGACTACATGGCAACATCCACAAACAATGGGACTGGGGCCAATACCTGCAGCCTCCTGGCATCAGGATATTATATTGCTCTATTCGCCAGCATAAATATACTGGGAAATAGTGGCCTCCTTAGAAGCAGCAGTTCTGACCACTTCTTTATGTCTTGACACCTATATGGCATGTCTGGTAAGTGCAGTGGGTGTCATGTGAAGAGTGTTAAATGATCATTTACTGTGGGATCTCAAGCTCTTCCAGCAGGTCACCATGCATGCTCTCAGAGTGAGTGTGTCCAACAGGCTCTGCCCATGAAGGAATATCCAGTAGGGAAGCAACTGAGAGATCTTCTTCAGAAACAGCTGGGGGTGGTCTGCGATCTGACTCCACCCTTCTCACAACTCTGGGGCTGTCTGCATCCTCTTGCACTGAAGATAGGGCTACTGACACTGAAAAACACAGATCACATGGATTAGAGTGCTAGCAAATACAAAAATACAGTTTGCTGCCTTCAAACTGGTTGCCCATTTGAATGTTTGGAGGTATTACTACCTTCACTGTGATCCAGTGTCTTCTCTATTTCTGCATAAGTTCTGGATGTTTGCTCCTGAACTGACTTGTTCATCTGGGTTTCAATAAGATGGACGATGTCCATGCGGTTGATCTTGGTTAGTCTCTTAATCAGACAGTCCTCTGTGAAAGGAGTTATCAATCATTAATGGGTTGTAATAAAGCATTAAATAAACACAAAAAGAAATCATTTAAAAATAGCAAATGTAAGATTTTATTGAATCTACAGTATGTATATAAGTCTTCCAAATACCCAAATCATTTGATAGGTTTAAAACCAAAGTTAAAATGGACTCACTCATTGGATAGGCAGTGTTCAAGCAACTGCTTAGAGTGCAAGAAAGTAAAATGCTAATAGTACATTCAGTACCTTCAAATAAATTAGCAATGTTTACAGGATTTCAAATATCCTTGTAATAGTAAATGCTAGTTTAATGTCAACTGAAATCTGTCAGACCAAATTGCCATGTACCTGTGGCATGTTTGCCTTCCTGCTCGACCCAGCGCTGCAGCAAGGCATGGCTCTGCTCTTGGAGGGAATTAGGATTCTCTGATCTCACTAACTGGATATCATCCTCACTGAATTCCAGTTCTCTTGCCAGTTCTAAGGGAATGGGTAACAAAACAAGGGATGAAAATGAAAAAAAAATCTTGAACCATATTTATGTGTTTTTCTGCAAGGACATGGATACATTTTCAGGGATACCCCCAGTTCTGCTCACAAATGCATCAGTTCCAATTCAATCAAAATATTTGAAAAATGATTGCAATATCTGGCAGCTTACCAGTCCAGCTGAAGCCAAGAAGATCTGCAACGATTGCTAATGTCTCTTCTTTCCTGTCAGCATCATCCTGCCAATCCACTAAAAATGTTGTCAGAGCCAAACATTCAATTTTAATATCATGTTAACGGTTCAAGGTGTAGCTTTTTTTCACATATCAGGTAACAGTCATGTAAGACACACTTTGCAAGTGAATTGGATATAAAATGTCATTTCCTTAGGATTCTATGTTATGGGCTGTAATACTCTGAAATTAAATGTGGGTCTGTGATGTTGACATGGATGATAACATGAAGGTTGGATTCATCACTGCTGCTGACTTGTTTTTGGACTATAATAATTTGGTCACAATAAGCACATCATTTTTTTATCATTAGTGTAAGCAATGACATTAATGTGCTGAATAAGCAATGTGGATGTTAATATTAGTAAAGCAGTATTAGTAGTACAAATACCAATACAATAGTCAAAGTCTGCATCAAAATTGTTAAAGCTACTCCTTCTTTAACAACATGGCGACTGAATCTTGAGACTGTATATACAGTATACAAACAGATGGAAAAGTAACTTACCAACATGCAAAACACCACAACAATCACACAGGCGTGCACGTACACATGAACGCACGCACGCACGAACACACACACACACACACACACACACACACATACTCAAAACAAACAAGAAAACACAAGCACAATGAGACAAGACAAATAACACATGAAAACAACACAAAATGACCAATGGTGACAGTATGATCTTAGAAAGAGGAAAAGGCTCTTGCTGCCGAGGAGAAGAGAAAGGAAAGCAAAAGCTCATGTAGGTCTGGCCATACCTGGCGTACACTCTGGAGTTGGCTCATCGATGATTCTCTGCATCTGAGTTTCCACCGTGTCATCCCAGGCAGGCCTGGATTCAAATACATCCTCTCTCCCAGAAGATGGTTGCACACATGGCAACGGGGTTCCATCAGAATCAGAACTGTGTGCGGCCGGGGTGTCATATGTAAAGACAACAGAGTCCGGACTCCTGTGACTACCACTGCTTATATCATCAACATCCAAAGAAGACCTAACGGATGTTTCTGTTGTCTTAGAGAGCTGGATTTCCTTCTTTTGGGGAGAGGAGGAGGAGAATGTCTGAACTGGAGGTTTCTGTTCTGTCATGACAGGAGGTTTGGAGGCAGAAAGGTTAGACTTATCAGTGGGTTGACTACTGTCGGAATAACTCCTGCTGTTTTTATTGGAAGCTTTACTTGTGTCGCTATCAGCCTCAGATCTAGTCCTGCGAGCCAAAGTTGAGCTTTTTCCTGCTTTTCTTTGAACACGATCATGCACTGATTTCTTTGGGTCTTTAATGGTAATTTTCAAAGGTGGAGGTGAATCCTGATGATGCGCTGGGATGCCAGCTTGTGCAGCTGAAAGGGACATCTCTATAACTGAGCATTGGTCCTCTTCATCTTCCTCCTCCTCATCATCAGGAGAAGAGTCTGAGGAATCATGGCTCTGCTCTGAGTATGCTGAATGGCCAAGTGTGGATGTGTCTGATTGAAGGTCAGCTATGGTAGAATCTAGATAGCCCAGACCAAGGCTTTCAAGGTTTACTACCTCACTTTGAATGTTGGTTAGTCTTTCCAAAGCAGTGGGAGAACCAAGCTGAACCTCTATGGAGCTGCCAAGATTAGCCTCAGAAAGTGGTTTTTCACTCTCTGACTTGTCACTCGAGGGTTTGATGAGAGTCCTGGGAGTGGGAGTAGGAATTGTTTCATCGGCACCCTGAGGCAGAGATGATTTGGGGATATCTTGAGAGGTTGTGTCTATAATGGAATCACTACTCTGTAAAGTTAAATACTTTGTTTGATCTTCCCCAGCCTCCTCTGGCACAACTTCATCAACTGGATGATCCCCTATATGAAAAAATACATATCCCTCCCCTTCATCAAAGCTTCTTCTTGTCATATCAATAGCTCCCCCTCTGGTCATTTCAAAAAGCTTCCCCTCTTGAAACTGAAATGGATCAGGGGTTCTCTCATCAGCTGGTGTTCGAACAGATGTTTTATCAGGTGTTTTTCTGTCCTCTGCAGGAGAAAGATTCATCTGTTTTTCAGCCTCAAGCTGTGCATTGAGGACTACATTATTCTTACCATCACACCCTGGAATAACATTTTCTAGTTCTTTAGTACATACCATATCCTGAGGTTTGCTAACAGAACCTGAACCATCTGTCAGTGGTGATTGAACTTCTTTGTCATCATCTGAATGGTGATCATCTCTCACACAGCTGGAAAACCGTGTGTCAGTGAGTGTCGAGTGGTCACCTTCTAAAGTGTTTTTATCATTGTGTATCTCAGCTTCTCTTTCTGCTAACAGCAACATGCAATCCTCACTTTCTGAACACAGTGAACTGTCCACTGTTTTTAGTTGTGACTGAATTTCCACCTTCTCTTTAATGCTCAAACTAATATCTGTTGCCTCACTTAGTATGTCAGTGCTGTCTAAAACACATTTTTCTGAAATTTTCTCCAGTGTATCTTGTGAGGAAGACTGTATAACTGGGCCAGATTTTAGATCTAGTTCATCATCTCTGAGATCGCCTGTCTCAGATTTTTCTCTCCTCATTTTAGCCTCTTGTTCCATCTCCTCAAATGTTTTGATCTTTGCAGCCATTATAAACATCTCCTCCTCTGGGGTGAGTTGTTTATTCGCGGCATCATCTTCACCATCATTTGAGTCGAGAGAGTCTTGCCTCATGAGCATGTGGGTGTTCTCACTGTCACATATTTTGGTGTCAGAATACATATTGCCAACAATTACTGCCTTTGCTGAGCAGGAATGTATGTTCTCCTCTTTCTCAGTTTCCATTTGGACGATATCATGGTTGTTTTCCTGCTCATCATGCTCACTTTCATCTCTGTAAATATTTTTGTCATAAGCATAACATGCTTTGAGCTGGGAGGCATAATCCTCGTACACTGCTGTCTTGACTGGCATCTTAAGTTCTGTGTCCTTTGAATGAGTGGGACTTCCTTCAAGAGAATCTGGAGTAGGGGATTCTCTGGTAGGGCTTGGCTCAATTGAATCAGGGGATTTGTCTGAAGATCTGTCCTCCATGAGAGGACTCGCCTCTAGTGAGTCTTGATGACATGGTTCTTTTGCTGGGTCACCAATATCCACCTTGTTTAGGTTATTCAAATTGACCGGTCTTGGCATGTCAGAACTACTTGATGTATGCAAAAATGTGTGTGTTTTGAGCACTGTATGAGCAGCAACTTCATCAATATCTTTATGATCACTGTTGAAGTCATCCATTGTCACATCTGACTTTATAATCCCTACAACCCTTTCAGTCGAGTCATTAAAATGTGACGCTGCGCATAGGGAAGTTTTAGTCTCGTCCCTCTCAGATGAGAAACTCTTGGGACCTTCATCTTGATGGGTACATGTCTGCCATGCACTCTCCAAAGCTCCCTTTCTGTTGAGGTCCACAATCTCTAGATTTTTATCTTCTGGTGACATCATCTTGTGTTCAGGGGAGAATGTATGAGTTTCTGTTTCAGTGTCTTTTGTCAGTATAATTTCTTTGTAGCTCTCATGGACTACCTCCTCTTCTGGGTGGTATTGTATCTCCACTGGCTTTTCATTTAGATATTGATTTAAGTCACTACTTAGCAGTGACAACATGCCTGACATATCCCTCTCAATTGCAGATTGTTGTTGCTGTGTTTTTCTCTCGATGCAAACTTCTTGGAATGGTGTCTCCAGTACAGAACTTGGTAACAATTCTCTGACTTCATCTATGTTGGTCTGCATGTTTTCATTTTCCCCTACATCTATCTTATCCTGTGAACTACTCCTCCTCAGTATAACTTGTTTGGAGCTCTCATGGACTAGATTCTCCTCTTCTGGGTGGCACTGTATTTCCACTGGCTTTTCCTTGAGATACTTATCCAAGTCACTACTGAGAAGTGACAACATGCCTGACATATCCCTCTCAGTTGCAGACTGTTGTTGCCGTGTCTTTCTCTCGATGCAAACTTCTTGGACTGTTGTCTCCAGTACGGAACTTGGTGTAAGTTCTTTTAGTTCAACCACATCAGTCTGTCCACGTGTCTCTCCACATATATGATCCTCTACATCAGTACTAGCTACTTCTTGCGTTTTTTCACATATTGTGATTATTTGCTCCTCACTAGAGGGTTTTTGGATTTTGGTGATAATAGCTTGTTCAAATTTCTCCTGGATAGAGTCCTCTTCTGGAGGCCTACAAGTCACTGGCCTGTCCTCAAGGTACTTGTCTAAGTCAGCGTTAAGCAGTGACAGCATGCCTGACATCTCCTTTACTTTTGTAGACAGCTGATTTGAAGCCTTTCTCTCTACCCACTCTTCCTTCATTAGGAGTTCTTCAGTGAAGGTTGCTTGGGTCTCTTTAAATTCCCTCGCCATTTCTTCACTTTTGCTTGTGACTTTATGTTTCACTGCAGCGTAATCTGTCTCTTGTATTGTGTCATCCACTGTCACTCCTTTATTTTCATCAGAGAAAGATGAGACACTTTCAAATTTCTCCTGCATATTATCCTCTTCTATTGGTCGCGTAGCCACAGGCAAAGCATCAGGATACTGATCCAACTCATTGTTCATGACTGATAACATCCCTGACATATCTTTTGCTTCTTTTGCCTTTTTAAATTCACACTGTGCTTCTTCACCTCCCGACCCAATTTGATGTTCTTCCATTGGTGCATGATGTATTTTGTGTGTTGTGCCACCCCCTGTTGCTCCTTTTCTTTCATCAGTAACAACTGCAAGAATTTCTTTATCTTTGTCCTTTGTTAAAATAATTTGCTCAAATTTCTCCTGTACATTATCCTCTTCTGGTGGCTGACTTGCCACAAGCCTAGCTTTTAGATACTGATCCAAGTCACTGTTCATTAAGGTCAACATCCCTGACATATCTTTTACTGCAGTAGATGCCTGGCTTAATGTGTTCCTCTCAATGTGGACTTCCTGAAGTTGTGGCTCCTCGATTTCGACTTCTGTTACTTCAGTGCCAGTTTGTGTAAAGAATATTTTGCTTCCATGATCAGTTGTTTTGTTATCTTTGCTTTCTTCGTGAAATCTCTCCTCCTGTGAAGGTAAGATGTATGTTTCGTCACTCCTACTAGAGTAAGTAAGCATTTCATTGGTCATTTGATCTGTCATTGAGTTTCTTTCATAATTCTCACTCTCCCCTGAGCGGGAACAAGAGGTTCTAATATCAACACTAGTGTTTGAGGACTCAGCCATACCTTCATGTTTGGGACTCTCAGGACTTAGATCATAATCTTTTATTTGATTCTCAATAAGAGAAACACCTTCCCCAAAATAACTTTTCATACAGGGACTGGAGATGGATGGTGGATTTGTATCAGAATCAGCCAAGGTTTCCTCCTCAGGTGCCTGAAGTTGGTCACTTACATCTTCAGCTGTTGATGTTCGCTTGAAAAGCTGGTACTCAGGACTTTCTTCCAGCTCAGCCTTTATATCAGCACTGAAGTCCTCAGAAGGTCTGCGATCAGGGCTTATCTGGACATCTTCAGATAAACTCCTGCCAGTGCTTATGACTGGCTCTTCTAACTGCATCCTGTTCGCACTCTTTCCTGACAACTCTAGCTCTTCTCTCTGAGGGCTAACCCTTCCATCATCAGACTGAAGTGTATCGTCAATTTCTACTGTCTCTCCAAAGAAAGCAATATCTGAAATTAGCTGTAATTCCTCAGAGTTATCTCTCTTTAAGCTCACCAATTGAGCCTCTAAATCCAGTGGTCCACATATGTCAGCATCACTTTGGGAACGGAAAATTGTGAGAGTCTGTTTTTGGGTTTGTGATGTTGGATCCTGTGCTGGTTCAGTCGTCTGAATCTCTTCAGCACCTACAGATTCAGATATCAGTGTTGAAGTACATGAAGAAGCAATGGCTTTGTGTTCACCCAGCCCATCTTTACTTTTCAAAGTGTCCTGCCCAGTTTGGAATGCTTTCATTAGCTCCTTAACAGATGAAGTTTCTTTCTCTGAAAACTTTGATGCATCTCTCTGTTGGCTAACACTTCCATCGTCACATTGAACTGTATCAGCGAATTTTACTGTCTTTCCAAAATAAGCAGTATCTGAAATGAACTGTGATTCCTCAGAGTCATCTCTGATTAAGCTTGCTGGCCGATCCTCTAAATCTGTTGTGTTATACTTCTTGACATCACTCTGTTGATGGAAGATGTTGAGGCTTTGAGTTTGGGTTTGTGATTTTGGCTCCTGCGTAGGACTTTGTTCAGTCCTTTGTATATTTTCAGAATCTCCTGATTCAGATATCAATGTTGAAATGCAAGAAGCCACAACTTTGTGTTCATGAAGCCCCTCTTTAGTTTTTGAGGGATCATGCCCACTCTGGAATGTTTTCAGCAGGTCCCTCACGGACACAGTCCCTTTGTCTGACAACCCTGGTGCCTCTCTCTGTGGGCTAACACTTCCATCATGACACTGAACTGTATCAGCAAATGTTACTGTCTTTGCAAAAGAAGCACTACCTGAAATTAACAGGGATCCCTCTGAGTTATCTCTGCTTAAGCTTACGGGCTGATCCTCTAAGGCGGTTTGGTCACATTTCATGGCATTACTCTGTTTATGTACAATTGTGAGGTTCTGAGATTGGATTGTTGATTTCGGCTCCTGCATAGGACTTTGTTCAGTCATCGTTGTCTCTTCAGAATCTATTGATTCAGATATTAAAGTTGAAATACAAGAAGTCACAACTTTGTGGTCAAAAAGCTCTGCTTTAGTTTTTGAGGGATCTTGCCCAGTCTGGAATGTTTTCATCAGCTCCTTCACAGACATAGTCTCCCTCTCTGACAACTCTAGTGCCTCTCGCTGTGCGCTTCCATCGTCACATTGAATTGTATCAGCAAATGTTACTGTCTTTCCGAAAGAAGTGCTATGTGACATTAACTGTGATTCCTCAGAGTCATCTCTGATTAAGTGTATAGGTTGATCCTCTATGTGTGTTCTGTTGCGTTTCTTGACATCACTCTCTTGATAGAAAGTTGTAAGGCTCTGAGTTTGGGTTTGTGATTTCGGCTCTTGCATAGAACTTTGTTCTGTCATCAGTATGTGAGCAGAATCTCCTGATTCAGATATCAATGTTGAAGTACAAGAAGAAGGCACAGCTTTGTGCTCAAAAAGGCCAGCTTTATTTTTTGAGGGGTCCTGTCCAGTCTGAAATGCTTTCATCAGTTCCTTAACAGACATAGTCTCCTCTAATCTTTCTGTCTGAGACCTGGGGGATTTAGGGGACTTGGGAACTCTGGGAAGTTCTGGCATGCCTGCCTCATTCTTCTTTATGGCGATAGAAGATTTTGCCTGAGGTGTTAGTTCTTCAGTATTTTTTTGCACCTCCTCCTCTTCAACTTTGTTCTGTAAAGCTTTAACTCTGTCCTTTATAGAGCCTATAGGTGTTTCAACCACTAAAGGAGAGGCTGGAGGATCCATAACTGTGGTAGGTACAAGGGCACTCTCCTTTAGAACAACATCACCATCTAAAGACTCCTCAGAGCTCATCCTTTCCAGCTCACCCTCAGAGCTGCTACATCCAGAACGCTCTCTGTCTCTGAGTTTTTTCCTAATAGGTTTCTTGATATCTGGGGGACGGCGTTTGCCATCACGCTTTACAATAATCTGTTCAAATCTATCTTGGACAAGGTCTTCTAGAGAACCAGATGTCACTACAGGTCTCTCTTCCAGGTACTGGTCCATGTCAATGCTGAGGTGTGAGACAATGCCTGTCATGTCTCTGACCTGTGTGGCAGATCTACTCGAAGTCTTCCCCTGAATGCAAATCTCCTGGAAGACTGGTTCTTCAACAGGGGGATACTTCATTTCAGCAGTCTTAGTTTCATAGAGTGAACCCCATTTCTCTGTTTTAGCATCATCTCGATGTACTTCCTGTCCACTAACATTTATGCCACCTCTTTGAATCCCTCCAGATTTTTCCTCCAGCCCTCTAGCTCCAGCTCTCTCTTCATACATTAAGTGCTCCATTTGCTCTGGAGTTAAGGTAGCAGACAGTTTGATGTCTGACATGTCTGAGAGAAGGTCCGGACTTGCAAGAGTTGCAGGGTCAAGAGGTTGGTTAGTTCTCAGGGAGAATGTCTCAGTTGATTCAGACTCATCATCTTCAATTAAAAAAGTTTCGTAACCAAAAAGGGTAAAGAACATAAGGGACAAATGAAGTGGGGAAGAGAGACATCAGAAAACTGTGATCAAGACAATGCCATCAAAAATCCATCTTCATTTCAAAGAGTCAGGAGAAGAATGACAGGGCAGAGGATAAGGAAGTCTTGAAAAGAAGACCAAAAAGAAGATGACAAAGAGATCCAGAAGAGTTTGGAAGGGAGAAGAGCAGCAACAGCATAAGCAAAGCTGGGAGGAGTAACAAAACAAGTAGAATATGGACAAGAATAATATAAATCTAATTTTTTGACTACATATTCTGAAAGTTAACACAAAACATACAAAAGCCAATGGGAGCAGTGAAATTTACATATGGAACAAAGGGACAGAAAAAAGGATAACAGACAAAATTTCTCAAGATTGCTGCTGACATGAAGAGTCATGTCTGCTGACAAATTAAAGTTTTAAAACATAGAAAACATAATTAACTCTAAATAAAAAAAATCAGTAGGGTTTGTAGTAAGAGGATGTGTGAGGTAAGTAATTCCAATCAAGTAATCAGGTCTTTGTTTTTTACTCTGTTTTAAAGTTTTATAATAATACGTATATGAAAGCAATGCAAAGTGCTGAATTTACTCACTTAACTTTGAAAAAATGTGTAATATTTAAATTGTAAAACACTAAATTTATGAAAAATTACCACTTTATTTTAAGGTATGCATTTTCCATATCAATTATCTTGTAGGTTAAAATGTTTAACTGATGTTATATCCTAATTTACTCTGTTCTGTGACCTTATATCACTATTGCTTCACATACAGAAAAGAAGTAGTGACCTAAAGTAACAATAATGTAAAAATGTGAATAGGGATTTGATTTACAGTGCAAGTCAATGAGGATGAAAGCATCTCAGGGAATGTGGTAAATGAAAGTTGCGAAAGTAAAAGTAAAAAAAAGAGATGATTGGCAAAATTCATACAAAATGAGTGATAGTAATGAAAATAAACCAGCAATAAAACTACACACTTTAACACAGAACAAACAAATCTATGTTGTTTGTCAATTATTCCTGTATGGAACAACAGTTCTTCAGCATGCCACTGCTAAAAATGTTGTTGGAATATGACATAAGAAAATAATCAGTCAAAATGAATACTTTTCATACTGTATATTATTACCACAAAACATAATTATTCTCAATATAAAATGAAATTATTACACACACCTTGGAAATCAAGGCAAAGTGAATTTGAATAAAAAGTATTATTTTGACCTTATGATTGATTAAAAAAAGGTCATACATAAAATTAAAATATTGTGGGTGGGAGAAAGTCAGTGGGGTTTGGAGTGAGGGAAATGCAGAGTACATCAGCCATAGCATAGCTGCTAGTAACAAACATGTAACTACACACAGTGTTAGTAGAGCAAAATAAGAGAGCGGGGTTAATCCAAATGCAAAGTAACATACAGCGTATCAATCAATGCATCTCTTAGCACATACAGATGTTCTTATTTTTTAACTAACTTTACAAACTTTATGACAAGACTTCTGATGCTAATCACATGATGTGACTCCAATTTAGACTGTGTTGTACTGGAAAAATAAATATATATATATTTATATAAAATGATATATTAGCACCCTCAGTACAAACACTCGCCACTGCAAAAATGATTGTAAAATGTCTCAAAAGAATCAATCTATGTCTGAAAGATTCAAGTAAATAAATCAAAAACTTCTAAAAATATTTAACACTAACACAAGACATAAAACAATACAGTTCAGCTTACATTTCTTGTCACTCCTCTCACTCTGCAAAAAAACATTTAAGAAAAAGCATAGTTAGCTACAATCTTAATATGATATTGTTCTTTCTTTGTTGTAGTACTACATCACGTAAACTTTATTCACCTCATCATCTGCATCTTGGTCTGAATCAGACTCCTTCAGAAAAGAATAAAACAGAGAGAAAGCCAACAATTCAGTTACTGCAATTAAAAATAGTTTACTATTGTTACTTAAATACAAACCTAGATGTATTCAGACTAACCTTTGAATATGTTGGGAGAGTGATGTTAAGGTTGCAGATGGCGTTGTGGTTAAGAGTACGATACGTGCGTGGTTCCTTGGTGAAGGACAAGCGACCACATGGCTCCTGTGCTGTGTCTCTAATCTGTCCATTAATTAAACAGCATTTCATTCCATTAATTACATATATTTTCATGTCTATATATCTGAATTCCTGAATCTCTTAGTAAATAAGTAGAAATTTCAGAGAATTTTGTATCTAATGTGTACTCATACCTTGATGAAGAGGGCCAGTCTGTTCTCTTTGAAGGCATAAAAGCTGAACACATGGTGCTGTCCACTCTTGGTAAGAGGCACCAGGTTTCCAAAGCAGTCAGCAAATATGGGTTTTCCCTCCAGCACCTGTGTTTGAGTATGAGAGCTGTTTTCATGTTTCAGACAAATCATTAAGGTCAAAAATTGTTGATCAATATGGTTCTTAGATCTCGGAAAACAGCATTGTCAGAGTTTTTAAAGTACATAAACTGTAATGATAAGAACCAGGTAGTAGGCTGTGTCTGCACTAACCGCTTTCTCCTTTATACCTTTGCAACGTGGCGACAAACTAATTAAGCATTCCTTCTCTTATTTCTTGTCTCAAGCCCCTTTAAAAAACCTTTCTCGCTTCTTTTTTTATTCCCCATCATCACACCTCACCTCAACATCTCGGCTACGGGCAACTTCAGTGAAGTTCTCTTGCTGCTCTAGTGTCTTGTCCATCTTGTCGTCCGTCATGCAGAAACAGCGCAAGCGGGCCTCAATGGGGTCCAGCGTCTTTGCAAAAATCACAAACTTGGCCATGTATGGAACACAAATGATTTCTCTGTACAGCTGAGAGCCAAAACTAACAGACTCCTGGGTCTGTCTGCAGTCAATCAGCCAGAACCTAGGAATATGAATGACACATTTTGTCAAATAATCTACATAAGTGAAAGAAACAAATCAGATCAGAACTTCTGTGTGAGGGACAACTGACTCCAAATTTAAAAACTTTAAATTGAATTTACCTCGCTGACACATTTGTGGTGAAAGAAACACATTGGTTAACAAATGTGAGAGGTGTGGAGCCAGTGATGTCCTCCCACTGGGCAGGAGTGGTTCCACCTGAAACCCAGACCCAGGATTTGTTACCCAACTTGTCACAGTTGTACACTATATTTTGAACACTATATTTTTGTATTTAGGAAAGAAAAATGATGGCAGGATTCCTCTACCAAAGCATGCATTGATGGCAAAAGCAAAAACCCCACAAGCATGTTAAGTTTTTAGTGTTTGCTGATGTTGATGATGATTGATGATTCCCCATTCTTACCTGTAATGCTGCAAAGCAAACGTAAGGTGGGTGTCTCCCCACTGTACACTCCACTTGATGCGTCACTATTTGAGCTCTTGGGAATAGGGATCGTCATGGTGATTGGTTTGTGGAACTTCCTCCGTCTTGGCTCCAGTGTGACGATTGCGCTGAATGTGGCCTTGTTACCAAGAATCTTTTTTACCACCTCAACATCAATGGGCTGAGCCTAGGACAAGGTACAAAATATATTGACATAAATCTATTCATTGTTTTAACTCTGAACATGGGATTTGTATCTGGCTAAGAAATGCTCTGTATGTACCTGAAGCCCAACTCTGATCTTCTTGGTGAGTGCTCCTTCAGGGAAGACAGCCTGGACCTGGGGAACAAGAGTGCTACTGAGGACCCCGCCCTCTGGTCCAATCAAATGACTGTCCTGCTTTATCCGTGACACCACCGCAAAATATTGTGGGAAGTCTCGGGTGATGATACGGCATATTCTTTTCTTTTCAAGCTCCTCAGGGGAATCAAGTTCTGTGAAGATCAAAAGTATTTAGTATAAATACCATATAAGCAGTCAATTTTGTGAAGTTTGGAGAGTTAAGTTTCAGGTGTAAGATTATTTCAGTCTCTCCTTCATTCATTACTTCCTCTACTTTCTGCTTCCCATTAGGTAGAGCAACCCCTGTCAACAACCCTTGGTTAGCATCACAATCTAGTTAAGACCTCTTACTTTCATCCATGCCATTCAGTATCTGGTTCAATTCCTCTTCAGTGAAGTCACAGTGGTGTTCCCTCCAGCTCTCCCCCGTCTCACTCCTTAAGATCACTAGCTCTCTTTCTGTTCCCCGCAGGGCTGCAAAATGGGGAATCTCAACAATCACAGGCCTAAAAAGGGTGACAAGGCAAAGTCAAACACAAATCAGACCTAGAAGTAAGTTTGTGGTAACAGTTTGGCAGAGCTGGCTCTAGCAGATATAATATGATGTTTGGGCTGATTTATGCAACTAAACAAACAAAACAAAAAAAGAACACGATTCAAATTTAAGTTAAAAAATATCAGGTGCATTTCATGCCTGGTAAAACAAACATATCCATGAAAAATCATTTGAAAAATATTTGAAGGGACTGAAGCAAAATTCAGAGCATATATGTTGTCTGGAAATGGCTCTTGATATGTACAGTGCCCTCCAAAAGTATTGGAACAGTGAGTCCAATTTGTTTACTTTTGTTGTAGACTGAAAACATTTGGGTTTGACATCAAAAGATGAATATGAGACAAGTGATCAACATTTCGGCTTTTATTTCCAGGTATTTACATCTGGATCCGATACACAACTTAGAAGATAGCATTATTTGTAATGGAACACAAAATTTTTAGGTGAGCAAAAGTATTGGAACATATAAACTTAAAATAGATTAAAGTGAATGAGACTTAATATTTAGTTGCAAATCCTTTGCTTTCAATAACTGCATCAAGCCTGTGACCCACTGACATCACCAAACTTTTGCATTCTTCTTTTGTGATGCTTTTCCAGGCTTTCACCGCAGCCTCTTTCAGTTGTTGTTTGTTTTGGGGGGTTACTCCCTTCAGTCTCCTCTTCAGCAGGTAAAATGCATGCTCTATTGGGTTTAAGTCTGGAGACTGACTTGGCCAGTCTAAAACCTTCCACTTCTTGCCCCTGATGAACTCCTTTGTTGTTTTGGCAGTGTGTTTTGGGTCGTTATCTTGCTGCATGATGAAGGATCTCCCAATCAGTTTGGTTGCATCTTTCTTTAAATTAGCAGACAAAATGTTTCTGTAGACTTCTGAGTTCATTTTGCTGCTGCCATCATGTGTTACATCATCAATGAAGATGAAAGAGCACGTCCCAGAAGAAGCCATGCAAGCCCAAGCCATGACATTACCTCCACCGTGTTTCACAGATGAGCTTGTATGTTTGGGATCATGAGCAGATCCTTTCTTTCTCCAAACTTTCGCCTTTCCATCACTTTGGAAAAAGTTAATCTTTGTCTCATCAGTCCATAAAACTTTTCCCAGAATTTTTGAGGCTCATCTCTGTACCTTTTGGCAAATTCCAGCCTGGCCTTCCTATTCTTCTTGCTAATGAGTGGTTTGCATCATCTGGTGTAGCCTCTGTACTTTTGTTCATGAAGTCTTCTGCAAACAGTAGATTGTGATACCTTCACTCCTGCCCTCTGGAGGTTGTTGCTGATGTCACTAACAGTTGTTTTAGGGTCTTTCTTTACAGCTCTCACAATGTTTCTGTCATCAACTGCTGATGTTTTCCTTGGTGTACCTGTTCGACGTCTGTTGCTTAGTACACCAGTGGTTTCTTTCTTCTTCAGGACATTCCAAATGGTTGTACTGGCTATGGCCAATGTTTGTGCAATGGCTCTGATTGATTGTCCATCTTCTCTCAGATTCACAATTGCTTCTTTTTCACCCATAGACAGCTCTCTGGTTTTCATGTTGGTTCCACCTCTAAATGCAGTCTGCACAGGCAAAACCTATCGTACCCAATCTGAAACTGAGCTCAGACATCCAGTGCTATTTATTGTTTGAATAATCAATGTAATTGGGAGACACCTGGGCAACAAAACACACCTGTCAGTCACATGTTCCAATACTTTTGCTCTCATGAAAAATGGGTGGGTTCAAACAAAAGGTGCTATCTTCTAAGTTGTGTATCAGATCCAGATGTAAATACCTGGAAATAAAAGCTGAAATGTTGATCTCTTGTCCCATATTCATCTTTTGATGTCAAACCCAAATATTTCCAGTCTACAACAAAAATAAAGGAATTGGCCTCACTGTTCCAATACCTTTGGAGGGCACTGTATGTGGCTCAGCCAGCGGCTAGCAGCTAACGGTGCTAACTCCATAAACAGCACTAAACAATGGTGGGAGAATGGGCGCTACACTTCTGTGATGCTGCAGTCCCGATATCAGCTGTAACCGGCGTATGAGCGCAGTGCAAAGTTACTGCAATGAGCTAGCTGGTTGTGATACACACATGCCCAAACATGCGCAAGCGGACCAGCTTACTACAACAAACCACAGAGAAGCTTGGATTACAACATACAGAGGTAGCATGACCTCCCTCTCTACTCAGGATGCCATTAGTTGTCTATATCTTTACACAGCAAATAGCGGTTTTCTACTATATTAATGCTCTGAATGTTGCATACGGAACCTTTAATTAAACAAAAAGAAAAAATCCATTCCACATCAGGAGCAAAATCCAACTTGAAACAAGTCTGGTGATCAATACTATAGACTGAGGAAAGCATGGGGATACCGCAACAACACAAGGCAACAGATGGGGTGGTTTTAAACAAAGGCTTGCACTTTTATCGTGCCAAAAACAAAGGAATTAACAAATTAAAAATAAAAGAAGTTACTCATAAAAGTCATGTCACGGAAAACAAAAAAACAAAAAACTAAACAAAAACCACAGGTGGACACAGTGGAAAAATTTGGGTGGGTATGTGACCACTTCCAGAATGGTAGGGTGTCCCCCAACCATGGTCCTACCCGAGGAACTTGGTTCCTGGAGGACCCAGCTGCAGGATGCGACTGACCAGGCTCTCACCCTCATTTAGAGGGGGCGGAGCTGTGGGAAGGTGGAGCTTACTGATCCATGCGCAGCACAGAGGGGGAATGAAGAAGAAAATATGAACACACCACACAACAGTGTAAACACACTCACACAAGCAAAAACACACACACAAACTCAAACACACATACAGTACACACACATTCAATCACACACTTACCCCAAGAACTGGGCTCCAGTGGGTCCCACTTCAATGATGCGACCAGCCAGCCCCTCACCCTCCACCATAGGAGGCATAGAGGCCAGACGGTGTCTCTTCACCAGCCTGCATGTCACCCGCGTGGGTGCAGAACACTTTCTTGGTGGCACAATGATTCGCAGGCCGTTGTGACGGCAGCCACGCATGGCCCCGCCCCTGGCATCTACCATGAAGCTAACCAGGAAGCTGCAGAAAAGGGTCAGGCAAGATATCAAATTAATTGTATTTTAAGATGGGTTATTAATAATTGCAATACTTTGGGCACAGATATTAAGTCTGTTGACGATGAGCCTCCATGCAGACAAAGCAACTAACATTACAGTAAGAAGGAACCATTTTCATGACACCAATCAGTACTGATACAACAACAAGCATATCTCAGCAGATAATATTTCATTCCGGCCACTTCTCCCTCCAGTTTCATTCCACACAAAATTTTTATCTGCAAGCCAAGCAAGAACAGAGGAGGGCACTGAGCAGGATTATTTCTGGATAATCCTATGTGTCAAGGAGCAAACACATATCAAATATTAGAGATCTAGTACAAGCCTGTGCTTACAGTAAAGATTACAGTGCTAACTTAAAGATGCTATAGTCAAACTGTGAGACCAGTAGTACCCTGGTTGAGTAACGTGTCCCTTTTTTTTAGAAACTACTGAGTGATTTTTTTTGATGGAACTATACATTTGTGAACAGTCTTTAAAGATTTTTGTCTTCAGCAGGAAGAAATGGGTTTGGAGTTTTGTCCCACAGGCAGGTAGGGCTGGATTTCGGTACCCGATACCTTTAAGGTAACAACCACAATAACCCAGTGCCAAACAGTATTGAAACTTCTCCAGTCAAATCATACCTGCATTTGATCCTTTCTGTACCCATATCTAGGAAAAAGTAGTATTTGTATGGTTCTGCAATCACCGTATGCATACAAATGGCTCACTACTGCGGCAGCTACAGCTCATATATTCTGTAGTGTGGTGAATTTGAGCATAATGTCTTTGACAGAGTTGGCAGTTCAGCGTGCCGAGATGCCAACAAAAGTATGCCTATACTACGCGTCTGTGGCATCTGGTGCATTTAGAATGCTTCCATTCACATAATGGGTATCGAAGGAAGTAGAAAAAAAAAGTATCAAATGAAGTTCTCTATTGGTATCAGTATCACTTTAAGGATGCTGGTACTGGTACTGCTGTTGTAACTTTTTAAACGATACCCAGCCATACAGGTAGGATAAGGAAGTCAGAAGATTCTGAGAGATGTACTACCACATTACTGATTTACAGCCTTTCATGGAATTTGCTGAAGATGAGAAAAACATAGAGTAATACTATGCTGTGTGTCAAATCGCATACATCTGTACTTACGCTTACTATTTTGAGTGCATAAGTGCGTTCACACTGAGAAGTATGGAAAAATGCAGTGCACTATGAGTACGCGGATGGTGCACTCAAAACGGTCAAAAAGTTGAGTGTGGAACTATGAACACTTCTCGCCATAAATGGTCGCCATCTTGGCTATGTAGCAGAAGGGGAGGGACCACTTTTCAAACTGGAAATAGCAGCCGAGGACTGTGCAACTGTGAACGTTGCTGCATTGTACAAATACACGTTTTTTGCACTAAGCACCCCTATACTGTTGTTGGGTATAAGCCAGCAGTATGTTTAATGGGTTAATTTAGCAGTCTGTAATGATTTGGTACCGCGAATGATAACGTGAATGCTAATTCTAGTTTGCTAACTAGCTAATTTGCGGTCGTCATTTCCGGTGAGTGCACAACAGTCGTGTTTGGTTTGAGACAACACTACCCTTTTGAAATTTGCGCACTACACCAGTGAGTACATAGTGCACATAGTATACTACATAGAAGTATACTAACGGAAGTATGTGATGTGAGACACAGCACTAGTCTTATTCTGTAAGGACTATCAAATTAAGATCCAGCTGTCACGAACGCCCCAATGTGCAACATTCCTCTCAACAAACAATGCTATTTTATGAGGCAGAAAAATAAAAACAGTATATGAGGTTTATGTAACAGCAGATGCTCAAGATTAAATGAGTCAGATCTGCATCAAGGATAAATAAACTTGGTTGAAACATCTCTAGTAAACAAAACCCGAACCCTGAAAATATAAAGTCATGCATAATTAAATCATGCAGACAGATAGGATGGGAATGAGAAGATCATTTAATAGTGAATGAGGAAAAAAGTAGGGGTACAGAGGAGAGAAGACAGAGCGAGTAGCCAAAATAAAGAATAAAGAGTATCACCTGCTGTTGTCATGGTCTAGGCACGGAGAGGAACGGCTAGAAGCAGAATACAACAACACACACACACACACAATCACAAAGACAGCCAACACAAGAGAGTGCACAAAGAGGCAACGAGACAATAAACAAAAAGAGAAAAAGAGAATAAAGAATACGTAAAAGTGAGAAAACCTGACCAGAGACAGAAAAAAGATAGAGCAGCAAAGATAAAAGCATGGAATAGAGTAGAAAACACAGATGTGAAGGAGTGAAAAGTAATGTAAGGAGAAATTAAAATCAATTCAGAGGTGAGTCATACACTCCTGACAGTGAACAAAAGCAGGTGAAGGATGGAGTCTCCATTTCAGGAAATAAATAAACATCTTCAGTGTCACTTTAACACCAGGGAACAGAGTGAATTTGTTTGTGTTTGTGTGTGTGTGTGTGTGTGTGTGTGTGTGTGTGTGTGTGTGTGTGTTAATACCCAGAGTGAAGCAGACTGGAGGACAGCACGACATTATCAAGGTGCTCAGCACCCCAGCTCAGACGGAATGAGTCCTTGTCATGCTCTCTAGACAGTGCCGACACCTACAGACCAACAAACAGCCAAACTGGAGTAAGAAAACATCAAAATATTCTCAAATATTTCAAACTAAGAATACCTTAAGTCAGGTTATCTTAGATATCACCAACAGAATGACAACCATACTTTTTGTATGCTTGTCCTCACCTGGTGGCTTGTAAGCATATCTTCGATGAGAACTCCCTCTTTCTGATGGTAACTTTGGTGAATGGGAGTGTGCTGTGGCCTGTTGGAAAAGCAGGTTGGATATCCTGACTGTTACTGTATATATCTGCCTGTTTGTATGTTTGCATAATGGTAGTGAATGAAGGTATGAGTTTTTGTTAAAGGTGAGTATGTATGTGTTACTCGTCACCTGTCCAGGTTGTGGCTCATGTAGCTGAACCCGTCCAGGTAGTGTCCGGGCAGAGAGTCATCTCCCAGCTCTCTTAGATCCTCTGCTCTCAGATACTCTCCTCCGTCACCTGTCATCGTGTCCTCACCTGGGAAACAAAGAAGTGCCATTTGAGATATTGCAGAGAAAAAAGATTAATCACTATGAGAAACTAAAGTTGTCCATCTGGCCAGGAAGGTCTGGATGTTTACCTGCCGTGACAACATCGCAATGGCTGGTATTATTTTGACCTTGTAAGTCTGTGTGTATGTGTGTCATAATGGCGAAATGTGGTCATGGTGACACATATAGTAACGATAACTTCCAAAGAAGCAGGTCTAAGGATTTTGCCTGGTGTTTATATGTCTGTCTGTCTATGGCCTGATCTTGTCAACACAGTAGCATCACAACTGACAAGATGCAGTCAGGAAACTTTTTACAGGTGTGCAGTTAAGATCAAAATGAAGACCAAGTTCAAAGATGGATGTGGTCTGAGCAAGGGGGGTGGAAGTAGAGGGAAAAGAAGTTGAGAAGAGCCTATCCCAGTTGACATTGGGTGAGAGAGAAGGTACACCCTGGACAGGTGTTTATTTAGAGTCACCAATTAACCTAACCTGCATGTTTTTGGACTGTGGGAGGAAGATTGAGTACCCACAAAAAACACATGCTGACACAGGGAGAACATGCAGGAACCCTCTCTCTGTGACGCTAACCACTGCACTGCATTTGCAACTTCTTGCTTATTTTGACAAGTCCTCAGAACACACCATACTTCTGGTACATGCATGACTGGACTCACACATTTATCTGCAATCTGTAAGTAGCAATCACTTCACATGTGGAACATGATGTTGCCAATTTTTGTTGTTGTATTTTTGTATGTCAGCATTCCTTAATAGCAGGTGCATTCCTTAATAATCCATAATTATCTGAAATGTCATGATCATATCAACAACCACAGCACATTCCATGCATTTAGTTTCCACCACTGCATTAAAAACACAATCAAAGTTGTAATAACACCCAATAAACATCAAGGTGTTAGATCAACGAAGGTCTGCTTCTGTAAAATCAGGTCCATAAACTGCACAATAACAAAACTCAGCCATATTGAGGGCACAGACTCTCTGGGGATTATGGATTTGGAGTAAAATCCTGGAGATGGAATTCTCATATTTCAGTGTTTTAGCAATAAGTAAATGCTCTACTGTACACCACTGATTAGTAATACAAATAGAGCCCACACCAAGCTGGCAGAGCAGGGCAGACATTTTGCAGTACCTTCCAGCTCCACAGACATCTCAGATAATGGCTCGTCTTCCAGCCTCAGAGCTATGAAACATACAGCTTTAAGACCCACAGCTACAAAACTACATCACCAACAACACATAGCTCTTTATGACTACTGAGCAAAGGGAAATAGAGCTAGCCTGTTTTATCCAAGGTCAGTTTTGAGTTATAGTATCTGATGATAGGGGTAGCCTAAAAAGTAAGTTATTTGTGTTTTTGTGGTCTTTGTTTAAAGTAACTCACCTTCTTCATCAGACACATCAAGGATCTCAGTCATGGTCTCAGGAACATTAAGCTTGTGTTTCTCTGTGACCGTCTGATGTGACCCCCATTCACAGTCATGGAAAAAGACAACCAAAACAGAGAAAAGTTAAGTGGGTTTTCTGGGAAATTTAGGACAAAACATACTGGTTCCAGATTTGGAGTTTAAAGTTAACACAAGCTTACCGTTGTGGTAGTGATGACCTCCTCAGTGACGACTTTTAATGTGTCCACGACAGAGATGTAACCCAGACGTCTGGCAATGGACAGAGCAGTGTTTCCATTCTAACAGAAAGGCAGAGACAGTGTTCATGTGACATTAGAGAGATTACTCATTAACTTTTTTTTAACAAAACATTGCTTATTAATGCGAAGAGAGTAAATAATTTTTCTCTTACCACTGTAGTAGCATTGGGCTTGGCTCCATGTTGTAGCAACACATTAATAATGTGTGTGTTCCCTTGTTGTGCTGCCTGGTGAAGTGGTGTGTATCCATTCTATATAACGAAAATTGTTATCACTGTAAAAACTAAAACAGCCAAGACTTTAACTGTATTATGTCTCTTGCAAGTGGTAATACTCAGGGCTGAAAAATGCAGCCAACCGGCAGTGCTAAAAACTGCAGTTCCTTGAATAGCCACTTGAGGCTGGCCCCAAAAGTGAGTCAATCCCCTTGTACCCCCCATTTTAAAATGTCCAGCTTTACAGCAAAAATAGATATGTTTACAGCCTGGTTCAAAAAAACATTTTTATATAACTCACTCGTTTAAATATTATAGAGGCTTTAAGTTATGTATAATTACGGGCACAGCTGCTTTGAGTGACAGGTGGATGCCGTCTGTTGACACATCGCAACCACAATGACAATGTTAGGTTAAGTAACCATGGCGTAACCACAAATGTTTTGGTTGCCTGGTTGTACTCAAAGACCTTCTTACGTATGTTTCAAATGTTCAGTTTATTCAGTACATTTAGTTTGAATGGTTTTAAGTCTGTTTCTTGCTAGTGAAAAATTAACCATAGCTGTAAATGCACTGTGCTAACCAAGCTAGCAGCTAACGTTAGGGTTATCTCCACCCTATCACCCAAATGTGGTCACTTCTAGCTCAAAAAATCCAGGATTGCAACAGCCAAAATGCCCAACTCAAGGCTTCAAAACAGGAGTCCACAAACCAATGGATGTCATTACATTGGCTATGTCCATTGTATTTTTACAGTTTAAACTGAGTTTCTACACTACAAGTTTGACATTTGAATCCTACCTTTGTTTTGGCATTGACGCTAGCACCTTGCTGTAACAGGAAGTTCACCATCTTGGCATTTCCATAGTGACAGGCCACTATTAGAGGGGTATATCCGAGCTGAAGCGTAAAGAGGATGAGGAGATAAAAAGAAAAGAAAAAAAGGTTTTTTACAAAAGTCTGCTTTGTTGTATTTATTTGTGAAGAAGCTGTGCATAGCAACAAACAGTCACAGATACAAAAACCTCCGAATGATGTAGACATGTAATTTAGACATTGCCATGCTCCCCTAAAGCCAGCAGGTGGCAGATATGTTGTGTATGCATGTGCTACTTTTTATGATTTACTGGAGGGGAGATTCTTCACATTTAAAAAGCCACCAGTAAACATAACCTGCTGCTGTGAATACATACACAATAAACAACATAATACACACATTAAATAGTCAGCATATATAATTCCATGACGCTCTAGGACTTCACCACAGAATTTCCATGAAGTCATTAGTGCCTAGTCTTTGTCTGTTTATGCTCTGTAGTGTATTTGTGTGTACATTCATGTGTGTATTTGTACCTTAGTTTGCTGATCCAAGTTGGCATCATGTTTGGTGAGTATTTCTGCTGCACTGACCCTGTCCTCTTGGGCTGCGAGATGCAGTGGTGTCAGTCCGGTCTGTAACATACAAGTAGTACTGTTAGTGTCTTTGTGTCTGTGGTGTAACTGCCCATAATTTGTAAATTATATATACAGTTGTTGTTGTTATGTGGGGCACGACAGGAAAACCTGTAACTCTATCCCTGTTGCATATTCTGAATGGATGCAAGATTAAAGACATACGACTCTATGCTTACGTCATGTGAAAATGTGAGAAGCAATGATGCAACCTGCACACTTAGTAATAGATGTAGTGTTCGATCAATATCAAAACAAGTGTCTGACAGAAATATTAAAATGTGTGTTTGTGTGTGACCTTGGTGGCTGTGTTGACATGAGCTCCTTTGACCAGCAGCAGGCTGGCCATCTCAGCGTGTCCTTCCTGGGCTGCCAGGTGTAGAGGGCTGACTCCCTGCTTGGTCAGGACATTGGTCTCTGCTCCATACTGCAGCAGTGCCAATGCGATGTTCGTTTGATTCTTTTTGGCTGCAATGTGGAGAGGAGTGTAGCCATTCTGGAAAGGGAGGACAGTGAACACACACAAAATGAAACTCTGGGTGAAACAGCAGGCATTTATGTTTGTTCTCAGAACAGCTCAACTCTTAAACATCAAGAATATCTCAGATTTTATTATCAGTTCTCTGAAGCTCTTGGTATCACCACTGTAATGTAAAACTGTCAACAAGATCTTGTGTTAATGTGAAGAGAAGGGTACACCCAAATGTAAACTGCAGTGCTGCTTGATCACTAAATAACTGCAACAGCAATGCATCACATTTTGTGAGAGTACTTTTCTCCTTCAAATCCTTTGTCTTCTAACCTTTGCCGTAGCATGAGGCGATGCTCCTTTATCCAGCAGAAGCAGAGCTACTTCTTGGTTGTCATAATGAGCTGCCACATGTAGCGGAGTCAAGCCATTCTGTAGGAGGAAACATTTGATTAGATGATTTATGTTTGTGTTACGATAAAGTGCTTTATGTTTTTGTTGTGTTTTGTATTCCTGCTTACAACCTTTCTATTCCACACTAGAATGACTCTATTTCAGAGACACAGTTGCCTGTTTCTATAAGTTATAGTCAAAATATTGTGTACAAATAATCCTGACTTTTGCTTTACCTTGCCAGCATCATCAGGAAGAGCTTTGCGTTGAAGGAGAAGTTTTGCTACATCAAGGCTTCCATACTTAGCTGCTACATGTAGTGGAGTGAATCCTTTCTGTGGAGGGAAAGAGGGAAAAGTTTGTGTCAAACCAGCATGTCCACACTGTTAATGTTCAACTGTATATTTGTGAGCCTATATAAGAATCTGTTTGTTTGATATTTCTCTGTCTGTGTGCATCATGTTCTATCCCCGTCTCACCTTCGTGGCCAGTGAGTGTGAAGCTCCAGCCTCTAGCAGCACCGCAGCAGTTTCTACCTGGCCCTCCCTGGCGGAAATGTGGAGGGGAGTGTAGCCGTTGGTGGTGGCGGCATCTGGATGTGCCATGTGCTGCAGCAGCAACTGGACTATGTCAGTTTTCCCCAAACGGGATGATATGTGGAGGGGAGTTTGGTCCTCCTGTGTATGAGGGATGAAAAGGCAGAGAGACATGTGGAGGCAACCGCATTAGAAAAGTCAGACACACAGCAGTCAGAGCTGAGGCAGGCGACATGACCCATGAGTATTTGTAAGCAACTCCGTGGATGGAATATTGCTTATTTATGATAAACAGAAGGAAAACAGTGATTGACTCTGATGATGCGACGGCTGACTCACCCTGGCTATGGCATCCACCAACGCTCCGTTCCTCAGCAAGCAGCGAACCACTTCCATTTGACCTGCTCGTGCTGCCATGTGGAGAGCTGTCTCACCACGCTGATATGCAAACACACGACATTTATGAGCATTACGATGCTGTACTGAATGAACCACTCAGGATCTCTGAGAGTACCTGCTAGGTGGTAGCATTGGGAAAAATACTGAAAATATTGCTGACTTTATGCCATACATATTTCTGACTACTGACTATAGAGAGCTGAACAACTATTTGTCCATACTCACAATGTTACGGACGTCAGGAGATGCTCCGTTTTGTAGCAGAAGTAAAACGATGTTGAGGTGGCCCATGAAGGCAGCTACATGGATGGGAGTCAGGCCAGACTAGAAAAAGCGAGAGACAATGAGAAAGAGGCAGAAAGATGAGCATAAAATACAAAGTTCAACACAGAAAAATGTTCTGTATGTACAGGTGCTGGTCTGAGACATTCCCACAAAGTGCCTCACCTCAGTGATGGCCTGAATGGAGGCTCCGTATTTGACCAACAGTTCCATCACCTTCACCCTGTTCTTCTTACAAGCGATATGGAGAGGAGTGAAACCATTCTGGTAGAGAGAAATATAAGAGAAATAAACAGATAAATTCTGTATGTACATCTGGAGAAAATGGAGTGTCATTTTATTATTGGCACTTTATTTGATTCTTTCGGGTGATTTGGCATTCCTCAGGAGCATTTACATGGTAAGTAATGAAATGGTAATGAATTGTATATCAGTAAATAATCATATGACATCTTTTTTGCTGCTAGCTAATGGTCTCATGTCTTACTAAGGAGAATAGACGGCATTTTCCTATGTTTAATTTAATTTGAAAGTTATTATAGGAATTAGAAGCACCTATTATATATTACTCACTCTTCCTGTCTGCTGCATGCTGCTTTGTATCTATTTGTGATTGTTAATAGCTATTTGTTGGCCTACACAATTGTTATTTTCTAAGAATGCCTACCAGTGCTCTAGCATTGGGATTGGCCTTCTTGTCCAGCAGAAGCTTGGTGACTCTATAGTGGCCGCAGTGAGCTGCGACGTGCAGCGCTGTGAGGTAGTCCAGTGTGACATCATCAACAGGCGCCTTGTGCTGCAGCAGGAGTTTTACACACTCTATGTGGTCTCCCTGGGCAGACATGTGCAGAGGCGAGAGTCCGTTCTGTGTAAGGACAAAAGGGACAATGCATGGGTAAGATGCAACAGGTCAGAAAAAGCAGTACATTGAAGAATGAAAATCTATGGGTACACTGACCCAGTAATGGCATCACCATACGCTACCTTAGTTCTGGCTAAGATGGGAGCTCCTCTCTCCAGCAGAATTTCCACTGCTGGGTCGTGTCCACTCCTGGCTGCACAGTGCAGGGGGGTCAGCCCATCCTGTGGGACAATCACACATGCACAGACAAACACATATTTATACAGATTAATCTAGTGTGTGTGTTTAAACGAATGATGGCAACTAGATGGCACTCAGCTTGTGGTGCTCAAAAAAACCAAAAATACATTTGAAAAACTCAACAGCAATGTCTCTTTCCAAGAATCATGTCCTGGTTACTCAAGATAATCCACAGACCTTGTTGTGAGCAGTTTCATGTGGGAACAATTTTACCACCATAAGTATCACCACGCATAAACATTGATGGGGTCCTCCTTGCCTGAAGTGTAATGTTAGGTGGGCTAGGTGGGCTAGATTTCTGGAGTGAGACATAAGTTGACATGAGTTTTTCAAATGTATATTTTCTTTGCGCTTTGAGCATCACAAGCTGAGTGCCATCTAGTTCCATCATATTCGAGAGAAAGCAGAAATCTCGGCCGATATCTCTAACAGTCTGCAACTGACATTAACACAACTTGGAAAGATAACTAGCACTACAGAAAAGAAAAAATAGGTTCTTTGGAGTTTGAACTGTCTCTGAAAGCAGTTACTTCGGGATGGCTTGTGACTACTTAATAAAGTTGATGTCCAGTCTTGAATTCATTCATTCATTCATCTTCTAACCGCTTCATCCTCTTGAGGGTCGCGGGGGGGCTGGAGCCTATCCCAGCTGACATTGGGCGAGAGGCAGGGTACACCCTGGACAGGTCGCCAGACTATCGCAGGGCTGACACATAAAGACAAACAACCATTCACGCTCACATTCACACCTACGGACAATTTAGAGTTATCAATTAACCTTGTCCCCAATCTGCATGTCTTTGGACTGTGGGAGGAAGCCGGAGTGCCCGGAGAGAACCCACGCTGACACGGGGAGAACATGCAAACTCCGCACAGAAGGGCTCCCACACCCGGGATCAAACCGGCAACCCTCTTGCTGTGAGGCGACAGCGCTAACCACCACACCACCGTGCCGCGTCCAGTCTTGAATAAATATTAAAATTATATTGAGTAAGAGTCTCACCCTGGTTTTAGCATCTATCTGAGCCCCACGGTCCAACAGCAGGGCCACCATGTTGGTGTTGCCTCTCTTGGACGCCACATGGAGAGGCGTTATCCCATTCTGACAGGCAAAGAAAAAAATTAAAGTTAGTTTCACCACCACCTCTTTTAATTTTACACAGCAAAATGTGAAAATGTTCCAACCAGAAAGTCCCACAATCAGTTTTAATAATAGTGTGTATGCTCTTATCTTTTTGTTTCTGAGTTGATAGCAACATCAGAAAGTTATATCACAAACTACTCAACTGAATTTAAATAAAGTGAAACTAGCTTCATGGGCTAATCTCAAGAAAGCAATGCATCTAGAAACATGCCCAAACAAATGCAACATTTGACAGACTATGGGGGAATGCAGTTAATAAAAGCTAAGCTAAGCTAAGATTAAAAGTGAAAGTTATATGGTAAACAGTAAACACACAGATCTGCAAGCCTCACACATGTCAGGTTTTAATAGATAACAATACAGTCCAGAAAATGCCTTGATTTGATTAGTGGAAATGGGGCGATACCCTGGCTGTGAAGTCCACAGCAGCTCCTCTGTTCAGCAACAGGGTGGAGACATTCACGTTACCATAGTGAGCTGCGATGTGCAGAGGGGTAAACCCACTCTGTTTGAGACAGACAAGGAGAGAGGAGGGGAGGAGAAAGTGACAGGGAAAGGGAAAGAGGTTGGAGGACACAAAGAGGAAGAAACAGAAGATTGGTTGGAACAGCAGTTGAGGAAAAAGGAGAGCAGTTGCAAAGGAAGAGCCAAGTAAAATGAAATGAGATGAAAAGAAAGAAAAAACAAAAGCATTGAAGAAAGCAAGCCGGAAAGAAAAGAAATGTAATAAATAAATAAAATACAGAAAGAAAGAAAGAAAGACAAAGAAATGATAAACAAGTGAAAGAAATACAGAACGCAAGAAGAAAAGACAGAAAGAAAGAAAGAATAAAGACAAAACGAAATGATAAATGAACAGAAGAAAAAAGACAGGAATGAAAGACAAAGGAAAATAAATAAAACAGAAAGTAAGAAGGGCAAAGAAATGAAACATAAAAGAAAGGAATATAGAAAGAGAGACAGAAAGACAAAAAGAAATAAAGACAAAATGATACGAGTGAAAGAAATACAGAGCGAAAGAAAAAAGAAAGAATAAATAAAGAGAAAATAAATAATACATGAACAGAAGGATAAAAGACAAGAGGAAAGAAACAAAGAAAGAAAGAAAGAAAGAAAGAAAGAACGAATAAATAAAGAGAAAAAGAAATGATACATGAAAAAAGACAGGAGGAAAGACAAAGGAAAAATAAAACAAGGAAAGACAGAAAGAAAGAAAGAAAGAAAGAAAGAAAGAAAAGAATAAAGACAAAAGAAATGATACATGAACAGAAGAATAAAAGACAGGAAGAAAGACAAAGGAAAAAAAAAATAAAACACAGAAAGAAAGAAAGAAAGAAAGAAAGAAAGCTCAGATTGCTTTTCTGTGGCGGATACAGGACAGAAACCTGACTACTGAAGCAGTATTACGATGAGGCAGCATGCTGAAAAAAGAAACTAGACACATCAGTGAAAGAAGAAGCAAGAAAAAAAAAATGAGCATACCTCAAAATAGCACAGGCAATACATAATACATGCAAAAACCCTGTAATTCTGCCATGCTTGCTTTAAACTAAATGGTGAAAAAATCAAAGCAGTTTGGTTTTTGAATATCAAAGGTTCAAAGTAAAGGACATTAAAAACCAAAACTGAAATACACAAAGCAACTATACGCACTATGTGTATCTGCTTGGACAGACAAATGGACATTTACATATCAGCTACATATCTATGGTACACAGTTGTAGGTGGGTTCACTCCTTACCTTCCCATTCTGATAGACATGGTGCAATTTAATTAAGAAACAGAGTTAACTTAAAGATCAACAACGTGTTTCAGAGAGGAAAAACAATGCTATCAACGTGCTTAGAAGTACACATGCTGAAGGTTATGCAGAGAAAAAGCAGTAAATAAGGAAGTGAAGTTTGACTGGAACGCCGTCAGCGTTTCAGTCACAAATCTGTAACACTAATACAATTTAAAGAGTGACTCATTCATTTAAAATCAAAATAAAAAATGTAAAACAACCTGTAATTAAAATGCAATAAACCTGACATTCTCTGGGATCTATTGATACAACACAGTGTCTTATGCTGTCAGCCATGCAGGAGTGTGTAGTAAAGCATAGTCTGCTGCATGCATCATATTAATGGTACATAATTCTGACATGCAGGACTTCACAAATCCTTGTTAAATGAGGGAAAGATCAGGAAAAAAAGCTCAAAGACATGGTCATAAGTGATCATAAAAGGCATTAAATGAAGAGTTGATAGAGTCTGTATACCTCTGTGGTTCTATTGACCATCATCTGGTTAGGACGCATAGGGAGAGAAAGGGGGATAGGGTGTAGGATTGTTAGGGAAAGGGCTTATCACAACATTCACATAAAACACAGGGTAAGTTTACACAAATAGAAAACAAAAGACAAAGACGAGGAAGGAAACCAGAAAGCCTTCTGATAGAGGCTCTGTCCATTAATATTATCATACTCCTAAATGGCAGCCAAATAGTCGATAAAATGAATAAAACTGTCAACATGAAAAATCATCTATTCAGTATGATGCATTATCATACACTTCCTCTTTCGCTCTCCCATTTTGTAATACACTCTCCCCTGCTTTTCTCCCTTCATCTCTCTCTCTCCACCTCCATCTGGCACTCCACCTTCGCCCTTCTCCCCCCTCCATCAATTCCTCCCCACGACGCCCTCCCTCACCTTAGACTGGACGTCAGCATTGTGGTCGTTCTGGAGCAGTAGTGCGGCAGACTTTGTGTCGTCTTTGCGGGCCGCAATGTGCAGGGCCGGGAGGCGGACCTTACCCTTGGTGTCGTGCTCCAGCAGCAGGGAGACCACTGAGTTGTGGCCTTGCTGGAGAGCGATGGCCAGTGGAGTGAAGCCATCCTGGAGGAGCACAGAGGAAGGAGCAAGAAAAATTAATACAATCAATTCAGAGAGACGCAAAGGAAAATAGGGATATTAGTATTATTTAGTTTCATAACTCAACACATATACAGGTACATAAAGTGCAAACTTACCTCTGTTGCAATGCTTTGGTTCCCATCATTTTCCAACATATATCGCACCACCTCCAAGTGATTCTCTTGGGCTGCCATGTAGAGTGGAGTAAAGCCATTCTGTAGAGGCAAAAGCATACAGTCCATATGTGCACACACATATAATGTACACCCTTGGCGTTGGGGTTACACACTTTTTCATGATTTATCTAATAGATTTTGATCCTTGAAGCTTCTCACCTGTGACTGAGAGTTGACATCTGCTCCTCTCTTCACCAGTAGTCTGACTACTTCTTTTTGTCCAGCCAGTGAGGCAATATGGAGGGCAGTGTTTCCTTTCTGCAGAGATAAACAGGGTTAGGGCCACCAGCCAAGTGTGCATATTGTGTGGATATAAACACCTTAAAGACTGCAGCTGCTTGAAAGGGATGCAAGTGCAAAGGGTGTAATGGCACAGAAACCTCAATTCCCATCTCCTCCTTAAAACTAAATTATGCAAACTGATAATGCACTTGTGTTTATGGTCTTGCATCTGTTTTCATTTTCAGGACTTACTGACTGATTGAAGGGCAAAACCAGCTGCAAGGTAATCCCTGCAGGCAATGAAGTACCGTTAATTTATCAGTAGAACCCCCAAGAGGGGGCCGGGGGCCACAGTCGCCCTGATACAACTGCTGCCCACCCCTTCCCAGCAAAAAGACAAACACTCATGTTTTAAGCTAGATAGTGGTATTTTTTGAAACTAGACAAGCTAAGGCATCCAGTGGGAACAACCTTGTCAGCACAGTGTTGGGAAGGGGGCTAAATAATGCTCCAATGTTAGGCTAAATTTTGGGGAGGGGTCAACTGGCATGGCCATTTTCAAAGGGGTCCCTTGAATTCTCACCTCAAGATATCTGAATGAAAATGGGTTCTATGAGTACCCATGAGTCTCCCCTACACTTGAGAAGGCTTATTCCCAGTAAATGTTTTTTTCCTTATAATCAATGTACTCCCTCAAATTAAAGCTGTTTGTTTGTCTTTTCGAGGAAAAGGACAACTAGCCTATTTGAAGACCACTGTACAGATATACAACATATTTAAACAGGATAATTGTGGAACTCAAAACATTATATGTAGTGTACCAGTTTTAGTCTATACAAACAAGATAATTAGTAAGATTAAATGGTAAAGGTAGACCTTTTTGTTACAGAGTAAGATCCTCTTTGTTTGACCAGAAACAGACCTGAAATCGCCATTGCCAAACACACCAGACGCCAGTTAAATAAACAGTCATTTAGGTGAGTATAGAACCAGCACATTTTCACATCTGACTGTGTGAATGAGGGGTTGATTTCAACCACATCGGAGTTGGCTATTGTTGGGACAGTGGAAAGACAAACAAAGACTTTTTCTGTGAGTTTTATTTTGCTTATGTCCACTTTAAATTAAGTGAATTTCACCATCACAAAATTACTGTACATTTAAAAGAAGTCACCACTGTATGGATCCTTTCCATAATGTTGTCAGACACTTAAAATAAAAATCTGAGTCCGGTCAGTGGCCAAAACTAGCAATTTTGGGGGAGGACTAGACCAATTTTAAATTACTGCCCCACAGTCCGTGCATTAGTCAAATTTCTCTTACAGTTTACATCCATGTCTTTCTAATCAGTTCATTCTTCAGTCCAAGTAGATGTATCTGTCAAATTTTTAAAAAAACATCCACACGGTATTCTTGAGGTATCATGTAAACAAGAATGAGACAGATGAGCTCACATAGACCTTGACTTTTGACCTATGACTACCAAAATCTCATCAGTTCATTGAGTCCAACTGAATGTGTGTGCCAAATTTGAAAAAGTTTCCTCAAGCTGTTTCTTCTATTCTTGAGATATTGCATTCACGGGAATGAGATGAATGCAAGGCCACAGCGACCTTGACCTTCAACCCTTGACCACCAAAATCTAATCAGTTCATTCTCAAGTCCAAGTCAACCTTTTTGGCAAATTTGAAGAAATTCCCATACGGCGTTCTTGAGATATCGCGTTCACAACATTGAGACTGACAAGGTCACAGTGACCTTGACCTTTGACCACCAAAAACTAATAGTTCATCGTTGACTCCAAGTGGACATTTGAAACAAATTTGAAGAAATTTCCTTGAGTTGCTCTTAGGATATCGTGTTTACAAGGACAGGACGTACTGTCACTTAGACATAAAATCATGGGAAATAGGGTCCAGGTGTAAAAATACCAAAGGTACTCTTAATATCAAAGGCCAAATTCATAGCAGTCCAAGGACATGGGCAGCGGGGTGACAGATTCTTTGGTGGTTGTTTACTGGCACTAGCTGTTAAACCTGACACATTAGACATCCACAGAGTCACATGACAAACAGCTTGCATTGCAGCTTACCCTCACTCACTCTCATCCCTCAGTCTCTTTACCAGTAAAGGTAGAATATCTAATCATGATGCACTGCAACCTTTTTCAAAACCACCTCTTTGAGTGCCGCAGTTGGCGAAACTGATTTTAATTTTTTTTATAGTCTCAATATATATTAAAACAGGAAACCATGAAAAAGAAGAAAATCTGGAAATGCACAAGACATTCATGTTAGACTTGTTGGAGAACACTTGGTTATTGTGAATATATACAGTTACAAAATTAAACTCTTCTCACATGACTTCCTTCCACTTCAATCACCCTAAGGTCCACCACCACCCTTGCAGATCGAGTTTCATAGCTCAGGAGAGAAGCAGTGATTTACATAGTACATCCGATACCACTATATATTACTTCTATTCATGCGCACTGCTTCCTGTCATCTCCTCCTCTCTCTTTTGGTCACCCAGCTGTCTCTGTCATCCCTCCCTCCATTCTTTTTTCCCCAAGTAGGGCTAAAGAGCAAACTGTGATATGCACATATCTGAAAATTTGATTAAGCATAATAACTAACAGTTATCATAATATGAATATGTGTGTGTACCTTGGTTGCTGAGTCAACAGGTGCTCCCCTCTCCAACAGCTCCTCCACTAAGTCCTTGTGTCCCTCCTTCGCTGCCAGATGTAGTGCGTTCAAACCATTCTGGAGAGAAAACAAACACAAAAAATAAGACTTCAAGAAAACACATGTGGTAAATTGATAACTGAGTGGCACTCATGGAATTATATTACAAGCATGCATCAGCTTTTGTAAATCCTATAGTGTTATGTTAAATTGCTGAAGTCTTTATGTGTCATACTGCTATGACGTAATGTGAGGTGCTGCACTGAACTACACTACATTCTATGTTATTGTGTCCATCCCATTAATATTTAGTGCAGCGGTCAATATTACGTCGGGACAATGTAATATGAAGTGGACACATTTTTTGAATCAGAAAAACGTATTTAAAAATGATTTTGCATGTGAAATATGCACTTAAAAACAAAATTTAAATCATTTTTACATTAAAAAAAATCTTACAGTGGGGTGATTTACAGTTCTAAAAATGTCACCAAAACAACAAATTAGAAGACGAGAACAGAGATGCTTATTTATAGAACTGTTTTGGGAGATCAGCACCCAGCAACTCAAATACGAGAAGTACAGTCAGAAACAATATGGCTGATTTTCCCCTCAGGCAGGTTTGGTGTGAGCATTGCATTAAAAGGCCTCTGACCCATCAACCAGAGCTACAGGTTAGTAGCAGCAAAAGGAGGAGAGCGTACATGTTTCACACTGTCAGGCAATTGCAGTCAGGACAACTGATGTATTCATACAACACCCATGCAGAAACATATTTCCTTGGCGACAGACATGTATAAACACACAGAATGATTCACCTCATCCTCATCTTCTTCCATTCTGCACCGTGTCTCTCTGAAACTAAGAGAGTATCTTAAACCGTGGCCTCTTTTTAATCCTTCAGGTTCCCTGCTCCTTTTTTCTTTCCTTTCTGTGCGTTCCCTTCCGAAATCTTTCTTTGCTCTTTTCTATTTTTCGCCTTCTTAAATGGTGCTTTAAGCTTTAAAGCTGGATTTAGAAGTGATGGAGCTCTGACCATCAATGCCGGTCCCCTGCTTCCACTGCCACTACCCCCCTGGTTTAGATCCAAGCTTCTGGGTCTGTCTGCCTTCTTCTCCCCCCCCTGCAGGGAGCCACTGTGCCTCCTGGCTGTATGAGCCCTCCTGGCACTGATGTAAAAGAGGAGCCGTTATGTTGCTTACACCTCTATCATTGCGTTCTTCCTCCCCTTGCGCACATACAACACACATGCACATACACACACTCTCTCTCTCTGAATTGCCAAATGCCAAACAGCCAAGGGGGTGTCATATTTCTGCACAGTCATAGAGGGTATGTAGGACATAACACACACACACACACACACACACACACACACACACACACACGGATACTCATATTTAGAAGCTGCTGAAAATGTCAACCTTTCAAAAAGAAAAAAAAGGGGCATTCCTCAGAGGCCAAAGTATGTGTGAGTGTCTAGTCATGTGTGTCACTGTGGCAGATATATGACATGGCTTTAAAGGTTAAACATGAGAGTCACCCTAGTGTCATAGAATAAATACTTCAAAACTGAATACATGTCTTCATGCATTTAGTTCCTTTGGAATAAAAAAAATGACTGTATTACCTTATTTTGAAAAGCCACTGTAGACCCTCAATCTGAAAGCTAACTTACTGTGACACACATGACCCTGACAGGGTGAGACCTAAATTATCTGTAGAGCTAAGCTTAAACACCCTGGTTGCAGTTACCAGTTACACAACACATACCACAAAGACACACACACACGCACACACATGTCATATATATCTACCATTTAGCAACTTGTAAGCAACCGCCTTAATTAAGACACATAAAAGCTTCAAAATTCAGGAGTGGGGTATTTACTGAGGTACTTTTATGTCGTAGAACAAAGCGTGTGTTAACCACAGACTTTATTTCAGATATCTAACAAAAACCCAATTTAAAATACCCACTGACTCTGAAATGAAGGGACCAGGATGGGTAAAATGCGAACTCATTTTGGGGTTTTAGAACTCATTCCTGGGGCACTCTATAATCTGAAATTAGCATTTTAGTTACAATATAGTCGCAATTCTCAAAACCTAAGTACTGTATTGTACAATTAGCCCTTCCTAAGCCCCACCCATTTTCACTCAACATTACCCTTTCCTGTTACGCTTAGATCAGGCTGTTCTCCAGTATTGTTTGTATGTTTTCCTATGAAAAGTAATGCACTAAAATTTGTGCGTATCAAATATAACCATGAGCCAGTAATTCATGTTAACCCACGTCTGCAGTAAAGAAAGAAGTGGTGTCCTCAAGGTGCAGGTTGGGGCGGTCAATAGGTTGCAAAACACAGGACTTTTCCCAGGAGACCAGTATTTGGAACCTTGGGAACTTTGAGTCATTTTAAGGTACATGGTCAAAATGTCTCTTTCCCCACACCTAACTACAGTAACATTACTTGCCTAAACCTAACCTCTGTCTACCTCTAGGCTACATAACGTTATTCGTGGTACGCTAATTCATAGGATATTATATGAACCGTTGCATGGACATTTTTGAAAGATGTTACAGACTCATTATATGAGGACACATTGCTTGAATATGGTATGTAATAGGCTCATCTAGGTTGAATGGCAACCCAAATTTTGATGATGGTCAAAAGATGTTGCTGGAGGACTGTCACAATGTTCACAGACACATTATATATATATTCACATTGTTTGCTAATGTTGGCTAAGTAGCTAGCTAACATACAGCTACAGCAATAGCAGTTAGCCCAATATCAGATCACCAACAGCCAGGTTTGTTTACTTCTTATTTCTGTGGTCAGATTGGTTGGTTGCTGACATATTTGTCAAGATGACATGAATTATCATTTGCTAACATTCCTTTGTTAATATTATCTCTGTACACTGTGTGCCACCCCAAAGTCACTTTCAACAGTAAAGTGAGACTAACATTAGGTCAGCACCATGGTATGTCTTTAGTAATAAATACATTTATTGATCCCCAGAAGGGGAAAAGGGACACACACACTTGGCAGCAAGTCCTTAAATTAGGTGTTTAAAAAAAGGAGAAGAAAAAAGCACCAAATCATCACATTCAAAAATTTTAATCAGTAAATTGTTAACACTTTTACTTGAAAAATGACTTACATCATTCGTCCAGTATCAAATTGTTGTCAATGAATTTTTGGTTTATCAGTTAGCTGACCAACCTTTTAAGCACTATTATGGACAACATCATCATCATTAGATGATGGGTGTGGTCTTACTGAGCTTAGATGCTTGTCATACTCTCCTATAAATAAATGTTTATCAGGTTTGTGAAGTCACGATGTCAGTGTTTCTAATGTCTTCACTCCAGTAAATCATAAACCACATTACTTAGTCAGCCAGTCCATTTTCACTGCGGCGCCAACAGGCGAGATGAAACAACTTCCAAATGTTTGACCAGATGCTCTTTGCTTCATTTGTCTGAACATTCAGAGAGCTGAGTTTCAGCTTTAGCCGTCAGTTTTGAAATGGTGTACCCAGTGACACAGCAAGAATTATGCTCTATCTTATTAGAGTTTCAATCACATTTCGACCATTATGTATTCCAGGAGAGACAGGCAAAACCCACCACAGACTCACACATACACTATCTGTCACACAAACTGATCTAAATCTCCTTTACTCTGAGCTGTAAGTGAAAGCTTCATTTAGCTAATGGACGCTCAGCCCAACACAGTGATCCCTGGCAGTTTGTAGTGCTTCCTGGCAGGAGGGACACCGCTGAGCTCCGTCCAACGCAGATTAATATTCCCGCCCCTATGACCGCTGACCTTTGTTATAATCACACGTGGTAATAAATGGTCACGTTTATTTGGTGTCGTTTATGGGCCAAATTGTCAGGGGGAATGAATTTAGAGGAAAAAGAGGAAATAATGTAAATGCGTGCAGATTAAAGAGCAATACCACTCACCAAGGATTAACATTTGGGCAGATTAAAGGGGAAGTCTGGCCTTTAATTGTGAGGACATGGAAATGAAACTGCTCACATACACAATCACACTAAAGAAAGGACACACTCATATGGAACAAACTCTGTCACACACAGATAAGCCCAAAATGTACAGGTATTATATTATAAACTTTAAAAAAAAAACATACTTGCGTGCTCACAAAGTCACGCCAGTCAAAGCTGGGAGCTAATGTTTTCTGTAAAGCAGGAGTTTCATTTATCTCACTTACTCACCGCAACAGTCTGAGTGTAGATTTGGCAGACAGGGAGTGTGTCTCTTTCTCTCCATCTCTTTAACTAACTTGGACAGCCCTCTGCCCTTGGCGCCAAACTGGCCCTCGCCACCCTGTTGCTGCTTTCTAGGATCTGACTCTTTAGTTAGCAACTACTACACACCGCCAAGGGCAACACTTAAAATTCCTGTGTGACGTTCCAACTTCTCCTTCTGTCTTCCAGATGTACAGTTTGAGTTAAGTCAAGAAACTTCTGATGACATTATATCTTTTATTGTTAATTTTAGGATACAATTCCTGAATCATAACACTACAGAATATAACTGTATGTATGGTGGCTATAACACTGCAACACACTCAGTTCTAAAACAGGACATTATTCCATGACATGTGCTGTTACAAACAGTGCTAACTTTAGCCAAGGGATAACACTGTGCAAATTAGGCTAGGGCAGGATGTATTTCTTCATACCTTCATATCTTCCTGACATTTTACCCCCCCCCAAAAAAAAAATACAAAACAAATATTTATAAGCTGAGCTAAGTGATTGTACCATGTATGTATGAAGCATGTTCATTGTTTAGCCTACAATTCTGTGTTTCTAATATGCTATTACCCACTTAAACAAGTCTGGGCTTAAATACTTGTGGCCCTTAGAATACTGAATAAATATCAAATAAACGCCCATGTTGCTGGAGGATGTGATTTCACTTGTTGCCACTGCAGATACCGACACATCAGTGGGCTGAGAGGAGATGATGTGTTGAATAAAATCTTGTGGCTAACAGACAGTTTTACAGTTGGAAGACAGTCTCTCAAGATAAACGTAAATGTGGCAATACTCAAGGGCAGAGGCCTTTTTCTTTCTACTACTGCTGCAATGTTGTCCCCTCCACCAGTAGGGACTGACCTCTGGTGGCGGGTGCTGTGTACTACAGTATATTGCCTCAATACAGCATTTCCGTACCAGATTACTAGAAAGAGGAGCATCTGAATTTGTGATATACTGCTGATATGCTGATATTTGTAAATAGACGACTAAGTTACAGTAATTCAATTTGTATGTAGATACAGTGAAGTTCCTCAATTTTATAGCCACTGAATCGATTGATACATTTTTAATCTATATAGCTTCACGTCTGTTGTTGCTGTTATCAACAGAGCTCTGACTCTCTTGACTGTGATGCTGACACTACTATTATAGATAATGGATCTGTAATTGTGTGGAGTGCTTTTCCACTGACATGAATCTGATCCACCCATTTCCTTGAGCGCAATTCTGCTGCTAATCACAGGTAATGTAATACTTTTGAATCATTGCCTCGGTCTCATTTCACCATGGTAGATGTGGAAATTGGCATTTCCTTGAAATATCATTAAGCTTCAGATGGCATCACATCTACACACATGTCAATTACAACTTTCAGGATGGTCACAATAACATGAGTGCATCAAACATACTGTCAAAATCACAGCCTGGAGGAGGAATACAAGTACTGGACTTGTAAGCATGTGTTTAAGTATGTGCGTAAGCTTGTGCATGTATAGTTAGAAACTCACACACGTACATGCTCATGTTCATTTGCATTCATGTGATGTATATTTGAATGCAGCCATTGACAATGAAACTCAGGGATTTGTGCGTCTTCAAATTTTGAAGGGAGAACGTCACACTGTGCATTTATCCTCCCAATAAAAACATCAAAGTAGCAGACGATTTTTTTATTTTGACAAAATTAAAGAAATTTACAGCATATATTGATAGAGAAAATCCACAAAGTAGGTGCATAAAAATCCACCAGAATGCAGGAAATCAAGTTTTTGAAATTTTCTGACAGAGGAACCCCAGACTCCCCTGTTTCATATGTGGCCCCAGTATGTTGAAACAAAACCTATGTGCTTGAATGTACGTGTGTGTGTGTGTGTGTGTGTGTGTGTGTGTGTGTGCGTGCACGATCCATGTGACCAATTAATCAAGTAAAATGAGCTACAGTTACCTCATTATGAGTAACATCATATGAGCTGAGTGGAATTTATCTCTTGTGACTCTCGAATAAATACATCTACTGTGTTACAGTATATTGGCCACTCTCTCTCATAAACAGTCACACCCAAACACACACACACACACACACACACACACACACACACACACATACACAAGCAAAGTGAGAGCATCACTGGGATATATATATGAAAATGTCACTTGCATTTTTGGGCACTTGCAAGGGCTCAAATGTGATCATCTGACCCCTGACAGATACTATGAAGGGCAGGGCTCTCCTGTTGCAAAGAGGGAGCGGTGTGTGTGTTTGTGTGTGTGTGTTTGCAAGAGAGAGTTTGGAATCACAGCCCTGAAGAGTCAAGCTTCTCTCTTGGTACACAAAACAAAAGCCATGGTGCCCGTGACAACAAATAGCAGAGCTATGGGTGGGCAGTTGCCACTTTTCTGTATGCCAACCAATTACAGCCCTGTGTATAAATAGCTGCTATTACACTGCTGGAGAATTACAAAAGGCCAACAGCAATGAGACAGTACAAAATACAAGGTGCTGATGAAATGCACGCCCGCACACAACACACACAATCAGTCACACACAGTCACACTCTTTTAAGCTACCTTGTGACTTCTGTAAATCACACTGACACAGACAGGACGGGGCGGGTGTCCTGAGATCTAAGGGGAAGTATTTTACACCCTCCTAAATCCCTCCTCCCCAGTGGAAAGATGTTGAGGGTGGGTATGGGGGGTAGGGACAGCTGTCAGAGGGGCCGTCACATACGGCTGAGATTGGAGGGGAGAATGGGAGTGGTGGAGGGTGGAGGAGGAGAGTAATTGTAGATGGGAGGGTGGTTATGATCCTGTGAGGGCAGCATGGCAGGTTAAAGAATGCGCTGACTGAGCTTGGTTGCGTGATGCCGCCGTGACACAGCAGAGTGAAGGTTAGTTTCAGCAGGTTCGACAAACAGAGCAGTTGACAGCTTTGACCTACTTCTGTGACATTAACATGTGTTGTTTGTTACTTACATATGTGCTCGGTGAGGCAATAAACAGCAGATTTAAGAAAACAATTCTGGCCAGATGTGCTAAGAAAAAGTTAAGTTAGAGTTAAATTGTATGTCTATGTTGAAACTGCTGTTAAATGAACATGACAAACGTATTTATCAAATAAAACAAAAACTAGATTTATCTGAATATAAAACAGCTTGTTTTCCTACAAATATTCATTTTGCTGACAAGATCTAGACATTGATTGATGACAACAGAATGAGTAATAAAGAAGCACAACTAAGACTGTTTGTCATTAAGTCAAAGGGCTTAAGACTTAATCCTTCCATGACTTTTCGACCCTGCATTGTCTTCTGATGAGTTGTGTTGCACAGCGGGCATCACACAGTGGCGTAAGCGACAGCTGAAACAGAAAGGTCATCAAAGTTTGCTTACCTGGTTACAGGTGCTGATGTCTACTCCATTTTTCAGGAAGTCCAGGACTTTGTCAATGTTTCCCGCTCTGGCAGCCCGCAGGAAACTGGTGTTGCTGTCAGACTTGAGAGAAAAAGGAGGATGATATTAGGAACAGGAATACAAGAATGTTTTCAATTTTTGGTTTCATTAAGTTCCAGGCTGACTTTCGCTATTTCTGGTGGAGGTGGAATTATATAAAGGTAACAGTAAGAGTTAGTTCAGAACGTATTTGGGTCAGACTGTATTATAAATATGTATTAAAAAATATGGTGCATATAAACAATTTTTTTTACCCAGCACACACACACACACACACACACACACACACACACACACACGAGCAGTTTTCTTTTTTGGGGCTTTTTGCATTTTGTTAGATGGTACAGCTAAAGACTGTCAGGTGAGGGGCAGGACAACAAGCTCAGGGCGTCTCAGGCCACTGCTAAGGACTCCTTAGCCTTAGTACATGGGGTGCACACTCTACCAGGTGAGCTACCAGGGTGCGCACGATGGGAGTAGCTTGGGAGTAGATGGGAGTAGCTTGTTATTACTGTGCATGATTGCAATTAATTTGATATAAAAAGCTAGTACAAAGGGCTCAGAGAGTGTTTTATGGTTTTATGGAAGTAATACTTCCTGCTTGTATCAATAGTTTCTCTGAGTAGGCTCTTCTAAATTTAACCACCAGACATCTAGGCTGCACAAGCAGCTGCAACACACACACACAAACACAAACACAAACACACACCCTGAATAGTGTGCTGCATTTATGTGTATGTATATTGAGTTCCTCGGACATACGTTGAACTTCACTGGAGGTTATGTTAAAGTTGTATTTAGAAGGATAAGGGTTGGAAAATGTAGAAAATAAAAATATTCATGCTTTACAATTTATATATGTATATCTACATACATAGATACCTATATATCTATGATAGGCCAACATCGGCCAATAATAAAAGTACCACTATGTTGATATATGTAGGGCTGCAAGTAACTATTGTTTTCTTTATCAGTTAATCAGGTGATTCTTTTTTCGATTAATCAATTTAGTCCATAAAAATGTCCGAAAAGTGCATACAGACAGTTCTTAAAGCCAGAGTTAATGTCACTGTATTATGTTTTTTCAAAAAAAAACCCTCAGAAACCAAAAGAACTCAGTTGACTGTCACAATAGCAAACACAATAATTAATTTTCTGTCACTCAACAAATCAATATATCGACTAATATGAATATTTACAAAGATATTACTTCATCAGATTAATGAAGCTTCTGTTCTGCTAAATGAAAGCCATACTACTTTTGTAAAGAACTAAGGGGTGAGTTAATTTCAGAGGGTGTTGACAAGGTTGTAACCTGTCATCGGTCTTAGGACACTAACATGTCAATCAAACACCACTGCGTGTTAATGTGTGAGGTCAGCAGCACAATCAAACTCCTCATCACACGTCTGTGATGAGTACACACTCGTTTGGGATCAAAGGTCAAACCTCTCACATGGGATGTCACCACACAAACACAGACACAATCACCAGCAGCATAGCAAAGAGATTAACACAACACGCTTTCTTGAAAACTTCATCGACATGACAGAAAAGACATAAGCTGATGAACCATGCTTCTTTCTCCACCTCTTACCAGTGAATCATCATCTTCAGATCCAGAGTCAGCGGCTCCGTAGTAGTCAGAGTGATAGTTTAAATCGTTGTCACTCCCAGTGGTCTTTAAAGCTTTATCTGATCCACAGGCCTTACATGTTGCTGCATTGCCCATGGTTACCATACAGTTAATAACTTCCCAGCTACACCTAAAAAACTGTGGCCTTTCTTCCCTTCACTTCACTCACTGTATGGTGTTCTATGGTCCAATCCCTGCAGTTTTTCACTTTACGTCCTTAGGTAAAAGCCTCACCGGCCCACTTTCCTGACACTTAGCTGCATCAATCAGTCTTACATTCCATTAAATCTGTCCACATCTTCACTTACTTTACTATTACCACCATCCTTTCCCCTCACGGTGCCCTTTTATCTCTTGCCCAGCAAACTCTCTTCCGCCTTAGATACCTCTGCCTCTGTCTTACTGTGTGAGCTGCCAAGGCCCAGTCCTGCCTACTACTCCTCTAGCTATCCTTTAACCCTCACTGTCTCTCCCGCCTTGGCTATTTTTACCCTCCCAGACCCACTCCTCAATGAAGACCACAACCCCTTGCTGTGTGTACCCCGGGTGGGGTTCATGACAGCTGGGTTTGAGTCTGGCTGGAGACCGCATGGCTTGTTGCACTCTCCAGGAACGTCAAAGGGTCATAATATAGTGACAGATGTTGAGCCTGAAGACAGTACTCAGATCACTTTACGCAAACCTTTGAAAACATTGTTCATAGGAGAATGTAGAAAACGTCTGATATGTATGTATGTAAGACATGCCTCAGAAAACTTGACACCTTTTACCCGTGTGCATAGAGTTTCATCTCAGCACATGCTTTTACAGCCACCATTGCAGAATATTCCAGATGCTAGTTCATACTTTGGATAACACAGTTACATACCTTTTCGGATCACAAATGCACATTATAACAGACCTGCAAACACGTATGTTTGTAATTGTCTGCCTGTGTTGACGTATGCTTTTTTCTGGTCACTTCATGTTGCCTCTCTGCCAAGCAAACACACTCAACAGAGATTGGATTGACTGAGAACCAGCTGTAATCTCTGTATCTGCACAGGATTTGACCTGCAGTTGGTCATGTAACAGAGGATACTGGATTATACACTGACTATACTGTGTCCAAGTCTGTGCTTCCATTGGAGGAACACCAAAACTCTACTCAGTATCATAAATATCTCATTAGCAGGCACAGCTGCATTTATGTTACTTTATAAGGCCACTTATGGTTATTTTTTTTATCACTGTCATGGCCTGTATTATTACACACAATAATAACTTGATGGGGAGAAGTGTTGCCAAACAAAGGATCCCAATAAAGTGCGTGGCAGTATGTTTCTGTGAAGATTAGACCACTGGATCTATTTGAAGGTCATTACATCTCTAACCACTATTACTAACTAACTGTTAGTTGTAGATCTGATTGGCGGGCATAAATTAAAACTGTTAACTAGACCAGCTCAAATGTTGCTTTATTCAACAGCTACATCAGCATTCTGAATCAGCACTGAAGGTTTAAGGCAAAGTATTGAGCGCAAGTTGGAGCCCAACACAGAATCACTCTAGTTAGATACATGAAACAGATGAAAATAGACACAAGTTAAGTGGCAGACAGTTTAATCAGGCTGATGTCTGTGCTCATAAGGCCGATAACAAAAATGTCTGCAGACACATTGCAGGCCCTGCTTATACCTGGTATTTACATGCCTTTTGGGGGATCTGATCAGAAGTGGACAGTGCAAAATATAAGTCTGAATAACCACCAAGACGCATTGTGATCGCATCACTCAAACCACTTGTTAAGGTGGTGTGGGACACATTTGACCATATATCTTTTGTAGTGTAAATGCTATTGCATCCCGATGTGCCCCTGACAAGGACTGTAACTTACCCATTTTATGCTGAGTTGGACAGAGTGTTATGTGACCATCTATCATTTTGCCCAATGGAAGGAGATGTGTTGAATTCTGCTAACAGCCACACATCCAGCTGTACTAACACAACCACTACTGTAGCTAGCAAGCATGCTAGCTACAGTAGTGGTTGTGTTAGTACAGACACAGATGTGAACAACGATGTATCTCAGCTGTCCACTTCTGTTCAGATCACTAAAACACATGCTAATACCTGGTCTAAACAAGCTCTCAGTCTAGCTTTTTGATTTGAGAGAAAGTTATTCATGTTTACTCCGATTTTATGACCGTCTGAGACCATAAGAATGATGAGTATAAATTTTGAAAATGAGCTTAGCTACCCTTCAAAGTCACCATATTTTTTGTTTTATCCAAACAATGCTCAAAACCCCAAATAAATCAGTTCACTGTTACATACAGTAAGACCAGGCAATCCTCTCATCTGTTTTAATTAATTTTCTGTCAATCAAAAAACTGATTTATCAACAAATAATGAACATTTACAAAAACATTACTTCACCAAATTTATGGTGTTTCTGTTCTTTTGCTTTTGAGGAAAACAGATGAGTAAAAATGGTGGTAGACTGATAAAAACAAAAAAAGGTCTGCAGACACATCTCATTGTTCTCTGACACTGTATTATGGGGGCAGCCCAACCTGCCTCACTTAAAAATATAGTTATTAAAAAATAAATTTGACATTTAATGTTGAAATAATGTGCCCTTATCATGTATAGTTCACGTATTGCATTAATGAATGTTGCAGTGTTATTTCTGCGTAAGCTGAGACAGTGTAGAATTTAACAGTGTTAAAGAAATGTTCATTTAAGTTCAGCACCTTTGTGGCTCATTTATTATTGACCTAATATAATTATAACACATATCAGTAGACCACTAGTAAAAACTGTTTAAAGCAGAGGCATGTTGAAAAACCCAGCAAACACTTCCTGTGTAGACCTGCTGTAACCAAACTAAAGGTTAATTAGCAACAAGTCTGCTTCAAATAGTGATGATGTATTTGTCAGTGATAACATATTTTTTTTTAGAAAAAATCTAGTTCTTTACTTGGTGGTAAATGAATCTGGTAATCTACCCAACATATTCTTTTATCTCAAACATTACCAGAATGTTGCTACAAGGTCTCAACATGTGAGCCTTTGTCACATCTGTCATCTACTCCACCATCATCCATCTCCCACTACAGGATAAATCATCTGAGAGGACAGCTGGACAGCAGCAGCAGCAGCAGCACACTGCACAGTCAACCATATCCACATTCCAACCCCCACAGCCCACTCTCACACACAATGGCCCAACACCAACGTTTATACAACACTCTAAAGTCTGAAAGAGTATGTGCTGTTGAAAATGTGAGATGCACAATACATGACACAAAGTTGTTAACATAATTGTGTCAGGAGATTATATGCGTTTTACCTGCCGCTTACGTTCAGCTCTCTCTCGGTGACGTCTCCTCCTCTCCCTGGCTTTCTGTAGAGCTCTGTACTCTGGATTTGCCTCAAGCTCACGAGCTTTCTTCAGGTGAGCCGCAGCATGGGCCATGACTTCACCTTCCTACCTTCTTTTGTCTCAAAAAGTAGTTTTACTAGGTTACACTTTAACTTTCATACGTCCTTCACAAACAGTAAAGACCACATAACCACATAACCTTTGGAAATGCTAAAAAACTGTGTTTTACTGTCTGAATTTTAAAAAGTTATTAAGCCTCAATCATGTTGTGTAAACACTGTGCTACGTTACATGAAGAAAAGCAACACATTTTGGTTAATTTTCCAAATAATTAAAAGAAATCCACCGTCAAAGTAAAGTTCATCTGAACACCTCAAATTAAATCCTATAAATGCTCCAAAAAAGATCCCATCTTCAAGGTGACACTGGAAATAAATGACAGATGGGTATTACTCCCCTCCTCTTCAATTATCCTATTTTCTTTGCTTCAGTCTTCACTCATCTTCGCAGAAAGATCAGGAGGAAAATCCGCTTTTGTCCCCCAATACCAAGCCAGCGAACAGCTGGATTTTGACATTCTCACAAAAAAAAAAAAAAAAAAAATGCTCAGAGGTCCACACATCCATACATGCCAACTGAACCATTCACAAATATGAGAGGCAATGACTGAAAAGGGTTGCTGAATGATGAGACCCATCGGCTTACTCACCACATGTCCCAACACACACACATGTTCATGAAAACCCTACTCCATGTGAACAGATGTGGCCACAAAACGTGTGTGTGTGTGTGTGTGTGTGTGTGTGTGGGTGCATGTGCATGCACGTGAGTGTTACTGTGTATGTGAGGAAAGTGTTTATTGTGTAAAGGGTTTAGGAGGGCTGCATGCCAACAGCCAGCTGACAGCCACCCTTGCTGCTGCAGCAAAAAATGCACTCTGTCCTGAGGGAAAGGGGGACAAATGAGGAGAAGGAAAGGTTATTGGGTGAGGAGGGAGGATGGGATGGATTAGAGGGGGAGAAAAGGATACAACAGGGGAAATGAGGTGAATATTAAAGTCATTTTGTGAAGAACTTTCCGATGTTGGTGCTCCTCAGGTGGTAGCATAAGGAAAGGTACACCCCATGGATCTGACCTAGGGACACTGAAATAAATGAGCTTAACCTCCTGAGACCCAAACTTTTGTTTACTATGCGTTTTTATTTTCTCCTAGCTATTTGGGATCAGTAGGACTAGATAAGTATAAAAAACAGAACAATGTCAACAATAATTAAGCCCCAGTGTCCTTAAATGTGACAATCATAAAGTCCCAAAGTCTTTATACGAGAACTTCCAAATTAACAGTGTCTTAGTTTGTTACTGTTGCTAAAATTGGTCAAATGTGTTGCCATATCAAACTACAAACACTGTTAATCACAAATAAACAAGTTTCAACCACAAAATGTGATCAGGTTTTGGACCTTGTCCACTTTTGTGATGGGATCAGCTGGAGACTGACCTGGCAGAGATGGCTGACATCTTGTTTTTACATAGATTCTTACTACCACTAGATGGCACAATAAGTGTCCATGAATGGGACAATAGGATTAAGCTAAGTAGAATTAAGTATAAGGTCAAGTAAACCCAAAATGTAATGTCCTCATACGAGGACACGGGGTCTCAGAGGTTTAAGTACATTTTTGACTGACTAATTGGCAGAAATAAGATCCAGTTTTAGGGTATTTGCAAAGGTTCAACCAACAAGTCAAATTAATGGAAACAATACAGGTACAGGGCTGGGCAATATATCAATATTATATCAATATTGTCATATGAGTCTAGATGATGTCTTAAATTTTTAATATCCCCGTATCCTAAATGTCCATGTCATGTCTTTATGTCTGAGCCTTTCAGTGCTTGACATAACTTGATATTTCCAACATGGTTATTTCATGTTATATATAAGGCAACGATGTGCATATTATATGATTCTTATAATCTTTTAACTTGGGCTGATCAGTATCTCAATATTATATCAATATTGTGATATGAGACTTGATATTGTCTTAGATTTTGGATATCTTAATAATGTAGTCTTTTCCAAGTTTAAAGGCTGCTTTACAGTAAAGTGATGTAATTTTCTGAATTTTCTGAGCTTTTACCCACTTATTCATTATATTCACATTACTGATGATTATATATAAAAAATCTCAATGTGTAAATATTTTGTGAGAGCATTAATAGTCAACCCTACAATATTAATGCAATATCCATATTGAGGTATCTGGGCAAAAATATCAAGATATGTGATTTTTTTTTCATATTGCCCAGCTCTATGTCATCATAAATTATGTCAAACAATTAGCTGGATTTCTTGTGTCATTTTAACATTTGTGCAAAAAAAATATTTCTACTATGCACAACAAAGAAGACAGTACAAGAGAAAGTGAGATACTCTGGGACATAGAGAGGACATAAAATTAAAACAAAGTTGATTACATAAATTAAAACAATAATAGAAGTATCTGCACAGAAGACAAAAAAGAGTGGGGAGGAAGAGAGACAGGGTGAACTTGGGTACAGGCTGTCCTGTGAGCAAGCAGAGAAGATGGGACACACCACTCGGTCCAGAGGGGGATCAGTGAGCAGTGAGCGCAGAGCAGTGGCTCCCAGTCACCTACAACTTACAGGCTTCCCCCTGCGTGAGGGGAAAATGGGTCAGTCTGAATCTCAACTGCACTGCACCGTCGGTACTGGTGTCTGATGGAATATGATTTGACAGCTTGTGCGTGTGTGTGTGTGTGTGTGTGTGTGTGTGTGTGTCCACCAACCAGCAGACGGTTGTCAAGGTCTCCCTCTGTCAATGCAGCTAATGTTAGGAGTTTGAAATTTCAGCACCAGGGACAGGGGCACTATCTCACACCTCTATTCACACATTTTGCCTGATGTGTTTTAACAGGCTCAGACAACAACAACAACAACAACAACAACAATAACTTCAGCAACATCTCTTTGGTGATCATGAATGGGTCAGATCTGCTGAATCTCACACACACACTGTAATGCTGTCTAAAATGCTCTACCCTGGTGCATACAGCCCGACCGCTTCATTCAGCTCCATAATGATGCCGTTTGAACATTTCTGCGGTTGTGTTCTGCTCCTCTGGCACTCTCTGCTGGTGGAACAAAGAATAAGGCATTTCTTTCTTAAGGCAACAGCTAGATATCTTTAACACAAAATCATAAAAAATAGAAGTAACAGAACATTAATACAGAGATAATGACTGTAAAAAATAGAAGAAGGAATTTCTTTTTACTTCTGATTCTTTTGCATCATTATTCCATGATACTGAAATTCCAAAGATAATTATAAAAAAAAAAAAAAATCCTCAGATCTACCTGTTCATTTTTGAGGATAAAAGTTTAAATATCTTTACCTATCAGAAAAGGAGGGTGGCTGGGGTGTGACTTTTTTTTTTTATTTTATGTTGTTGTTTTTTGACCCTCTCTGTGAAGCTCTAAGGCTTCAGCTTCCCTGGCTGAATTGGGGAAAATGCCTGACCCTGCCTCAACCATAAATGTGTTTATTTTTTTATTTTTAGCCAAATTTAAAATTATACATAGAATAAAGTGATTTTGAAGGAATATTAATTGTTTTAAGCTCAGGTTTGGTTATATTTTTTTTTCTGACTGAAGCGTTTGTTGCATATAATGTGTCCAAGGACTGTCGAAAATGTGAAAATCCAACTATGATTTTTGGTTTCACAGTTTCTGGCTATGACAAATGGTGTCATTTTGGTCATTTTTAAAGAAAACATGCCTTCAGGTTTGGAAGGCCCCCTAACCCAAACCCGTTTTAACCCCAACCTAACCTCAACCCCTCCCCTAAACCAAAATAATAATTTAAAAAAAAACAAAAAAAAAACCCAAGTCCCTTCCATGTCCTGAATAATTTATTTGACATGCCTCCCCCTTTTAGCACCACCCCTCCCCCCTCATAAACAACAAACAGTCCCTAAGAAAACCTTCCCCATGACATAGTACAGTATACTGTACAATGCAAGCAAATCTACACTTCTAAAAGTGACCACTGCTGTACTGTATTTCTCAAGTTACAGCTTTAGCAGACACAATCTATAAGCTTATTGATCAGCGTGTTAGTTGAGCCTGAAACACTGTTCTTACAGTAATATAGTTACAGTTGTGTGTGTGTGTGTGTGTGTGTGTGTGTGCGCACAGTATGTTTTTATTAATGCTAACTTTCCAGTGTCTATGCATCAGCAGAGGCTGATCGATGACCCCTATTGATCCCTTCCATCACTCGTGCAAGATAATGAGGATCAAGGAAATACATTATAAACTAAAGTGTGTGTGTATGTGTGTGTGCGTGTGTGTGTGTCCATTTAGGAGTCAGATTACATTGAGGGGGTGCTCTGAGGAGAGCTGATGTGAGCTCTTGTTTCTGTTGTTTTAGTGGATCTCATGCATAGGGAGGGGTTAATGGTCTGCTTTTCATTTTATGGATCCAAAGGCTTTTATATGGCCCATTAGGACTCTATGATAGACAGATACGGGCGACGCAGAGACCAGCATCCATATCACTGCACGTGCCTGTTCATGTGCTTCAAATTGCGAGTGGATGTGTATGTAGGTTTATATATTAAAATGTAGGGGAGAGTGGGGTTGGTTGACACATTTTTGTATCGACATGAAACCTGTTACTCACAGACCACTTGAACAGCAATGAACATAATTTGATCCCTGAACAGATACATGTATCTGACAATAATTTATGGTTGTCGATGTTCTGGGACGCCGTGTCAACCTCAGCCTGTTTCATGTAGTGTCTGTTTTCAAAATACACTTCTGTTTTCACAGGAAATGTACAGTCTGCATACAGTCTCTTTCAAAATAAACACACAGTACAACACCGTGAATTGACGTTTTTTTCCTTCAACAACAAACTCACATGATTACATTTCGCTAACACATGCACGTGGTTGAGCTTAGGAAAAAAGAAAAGGGTTTGGCTTTACAATCTTACAGGAAGCCAACACCAGCCTCCCAGGTGAAAGTCGGTAGTTGTTGGACCCACCCATCACCCCACCCACCTGCAACTACTAGGACTTCCGCTGCCTCAACTTTCGCTGTTGTCCTGCTGCGTTTCTCCTTGACACCGCCCGGTGCCATTAAACAATAACAGCGACCGGCGGCGTATCATACCGACGTCAAAGGACTGCTTTCTTTTGTCTGTGTCTGATGCCGGAAGTCACTGACCAAACCCCAGTTTTTGATGACTTCGGAGTGAGACTAGGTTGGTCTTCCAAGTCTTCATTTCAGTGGCTTAGTGTGGTTACCATAGGCTACATTTAGCTTATTGGTTCATGAAGACTATTGTGTTTGTTTCATTTTGAAAAGAAAGAAAGAAGGAAAGAAAGGCAACAAGTCAATAACAACAACTTGAGAGTAATAAAAAAGTTAAACAGTTGAACTTGTC